TATGTGTGTTGTGTACAGTATGCATGTAAATATTTGTTAATATTTCTCATATTTATTTCTCTGGGGCGATAGCGGCTCAGTTGGTAGAGCATTGGTCTTTGGGCGGCACGGTGGCAGAGTGGATAGCACTCTCGCCTCTCAGCAAGAAGGTGCTGGGTTCAAATCCCGGTTGGACCAGGGTCTTTCTGAGTGGAGTTTGCATGTTCTCCCCGTGTCTGCGTAGGTTTCCTCTGGGTCCTCCGGCTTCCCCAACCACTAAAAACATGTACAATAGGTCTGGCATGCGCCTCCTGTACTGGCGACCACGCTCCCATCTCTGTGTGGAGTGAGAGACAAATGCCCAAAAATAACAATTGTAAACTGCTTTGTGACTCTGCTCTGTGAAAGCCGGTATATAAATAAACATTACTTACTTACTTTTAACCTAATAGTTGTAGGTTCAATTCCCCCTTGACCCATATCATCTGCTCCCACTGAGGCCTGCTGCTGTTGTGTCCCTGGGCAAGACACTTAACCCCACATTGCCCGGCCGTATCTTCGTCAAAGCAGCAGCTCTGATTGCCCTCCCCCCAACCCAGAAATGGAACAATAAAGGGAATGAAAATGATTTGACATATTTCTCGCATTCTAAGTATATTTTTATTCCAAAATGTCTTTTTTTTTCCCCAGAATTCTCTCTGCTCCTGTTAAGCCTCCTGTGTTGCTTCTGCATGAATGGTGCTTTATAAATAAATTTTCCTCGTCTTGTCATTCTCTCCGTGGGCTTTCACAAACACCTCTGAACAAACAGCACGTGCGCTCTACTGGATGACCGTGCACGTGCTGTTTGCCCACGTGCACGCTCGCACAGGAGCGTGCACGTGGGCAAACAGCGGCGTGTGTGCTTTCTCTTATTGCGGCGCACTGTCCAAATCTCGTACATATTTTATTATTTACTTTAAGGAATCCTCTGTCTGCACAGATCCGTCTTCTTTACGACAAACCACCGCCTTTATGATCCATCCAAAAATAATCTTTAAAACTGAAAAAGTAACACACGCAACTTCAAAAGTCCACAGCGGCTAAACTAGTTCAAAACAGTCGGCAGCATCTGGAACATAGCGCTGGGCCAAGAGCGACTTTAGGACCATCTTGGACCATCTTCACTGGGCTCCTGCTGGGACTCTTAGGAGCACAGGGACTGGCCTCCTGCTGGGACTCTGAGGCTGAGTTTACACGGAGACAATGTGGCAGTAAAACGGTATAGTTGGATGTCGGTTGCTACCAACCGTTCATACGAAGACTGTGTTCCAGGGGGGTGAAAACGTAAGTGTTCAGATCCAGCCTGCAGAGTGGGACAACTCAGAAACGCTGCACAGCGGGGAGCTCTTTCACACCCGCGAGAGCGAAAAAGGTGTGAAATCCCCCTCTGCTCTGACCCCCGCCTCAGCGCTGCTCCCCGCTGTAAATTTGGACATGCGCAGTGGCGGAGAACAAACATAAACAACAATGGCGGCGGTCACACTAACTAGCTTTGTGGGCTTCCAGCGCTACACAGAGGATAATTCTACTCCTTCGTTCGTCCAAACGAGACCAGGCGAAGCTCTAGGTTCAGTTTCCATGTTCACAGCTGCTGTTAAAATGCAGAATGATGTTGGTACGTTCTGAGGGTCTGGCACAGGAAGTGAATATACTGCCGACAGGGGGGCTGGGGGTCGTGTGAGTGTTGTAAAGTTTCTCTGCCCACGACTGGCCGGGCGCTAGAACTACATCGTTTTTCAACCTCATGTGAACGCAGAGAAATTTGCATTAGGAGCCAGGTCGTTTCTGTTAATAGCCTGGAAACGTCTGCGCAGCGTCTCAGTATAAACAGGGACTCTGAGGAGCACAGGGACTGGGCTCCTGCTGGGACTCTGAGGAGCACAGGGACTACAGGATTGTATCTTCACTCTGTTATTCATGATTTTAAAGCCTTGTGTGATTCCTTCTGTCTTTGAACTTGTGAACTGTGCTAAACAAATAAAACTAGAACCACCAGAGCAGGGTCTTTGACGGATTTGATGCATTATTCGGTTGCTTTCTTTTTATGGCGGTTAAAGCTCATTTTTTAAGGTGCTGGTTCTGAACTGGTTCTGGTCCTGAACTGGTCATGGACTGAGCCATTTACTCAGCAGTTAACACTTGGCCTTTCAACTTTCTGTTTTTACTGTTTTTCAAGGTTAAAATTAGATTTATTATTGCCATTGCAGGAAGTCACAAACTATTGCTTTGGCTCTGTCATAACAGTAAACATAGAATGAGGCCTGCACAAGAAGATAATAAAAGAATCTTCTTCACATTATTTAAAATTACTACTTAATCGGATCGTCAAGATTATTGGTCCTCCCAGTTGTCAATCAATCTGGTGATTGATTCATAAAATTTTGAAAAATACTTTTAAAATACTACAGGTCAATATAGTAGTAAAGTGACAGTTTATACAGTGACAACTAAAAGGGAGCTAAGGTAAAAATCCAATGTAAACAAATAATAATACGTTTTTGGGAAAATTTCTCAGACTCGTTGGTTTGAATGGGAGCAGTCAAAATGACGGCCTTGGAGTTCTGGGAGTCCTCTTGTTAGTGTTTTGCTTGCAGCAGCTCCTGACCTTGCTTCTGCGTCTCTCTCTGTCCTTCGCTCTTTTCCCTTAAACGGCTCCAACCTCATAACCCCGCGCGACCGAACCATATGAAGTGCGCTCTCACTAAACACGCGCGCGCCCTCGGTGCGCGCGCGCACCCGGAGCCGTAAAACTTGTGCACGCGCTTTACGACGGCCCATTGAGGAGCGCACTTCCGCCTCCTCCAGGATTCCCCTGTGTCACTATTTTTCATGCATTTAATAAATTAATTATGGGCTAAACTCTCCCCGGGCGGTGCTCGGGCGCGCGGAGAGAGGGATAGAGATGGGGGAGAGAGGGGGGGAGAGAGAGAGGGGAGAGAGAGGGGAGAGAGAGTGGGGGCGGGGTGGGGGGGGACATGTTAAAGGTCGCGTGCGGGTTAATGTTACTTTTTATTTGCTGATTTTTCAAAAACGCAAAAGGGGACCGCGGGGGGAGGGGCGGGGTTGGAAGGATCGGAAGGAGATAGATGACAGTTTATGGTACATGTTTTCATTATGTGTTTAAAGCTTGGTTACCTGACTTCTTCATTGAAAAATTATCCGAGTTATTTATCCCAATAGAAAGCATCTTGTAAAAGTCAATCATTATTCATTTCAATTCAATGTATTTGTGTATCGTCCTGAATCACTCAGAGAATCACACAGTCCGAACGCAGGAAATGCAAAATTGGAAACAAAACTAAACTCAAGTAAATATAAATCCCTTCCACGTCAAACAATTTTAATGCAACAAAACTCTGGACCAATGGGAACGCAGGAAGGTCTGAGGACATTTATGGACATCTCTCTTTATGGACCAATGGCTCTATGTGTTGTGGTGCCTGCTTTTATCATCATTATTATTAATACTATACAGATTTATGAGTTTTAATTTAACATAATAAATGCAAAATGGCGGAGACTGCTGACTGACCGTTCTCTCTCAGTCAAAAGAGAGAGACACACGACATTTCGGAGACAGCTTGGGACTTTCATGTGAGACCAGCATCCATATCGTAAGACTACACTGAAAAAAGTAACCTATAGAATTTACCCAATAAATCTGAGGTAACAATTTGCATCTACTTTTTTTGGGTAGATTTAATTCATTTATGGAGTATAAAATACCTGAAATATAAAACTTTAATTCCTTAAATAAATTTGGTAGAATTACCTCTTAATTTCTTGTAGATAATACCCAATATTCACCAGTAGATAATACCCAATATTCACCAGTAGATAATACCCAATATTCACCAGTAGATAATACCCAATATTCACCAGTAGATAATACCCAATAATCACTAGTAGATAATACCCAATAATAACAAATAGTTAGACCATTTCTGCATTACCTTGATTGGCATGATTTTCATACAGATATGTCAATTTCAGAACCAGGAAGGGGGGACAGTTTAAGCATTTTTTACAGGGAACAATGTGAATAACTAAAGGAAAGGAATATACAGCACCAAAACTAAACTCACATTTAAGTACTGTTCTGTCCTATGAAAGTGAGTCAAGATTTGGTGCTGTATATTCCTTTTCCTTACAGTTATGCACATTGTTAACAGCAAAAGTACTTAAAACTGTCCCCCCTTACTGGTTCTGAAACTGACACATCTGTATGAAAACCATGGCAACCAAGGTAATGCAGAAATGGTCCATTACTAATACAAATTAACCAATATCAGTTTCTCACCATTACATATTCAGATAGGGCCAGATATTACCCCCTTTAAAAAAATAAGAGGCCTTCATATTATTTAAATGTTTTTAATACCAAAAAAATTTAGACATTTTTCTGAACAGTTAAATAAAATTTCTCTTTTAAATAAAATGTTAAAGAATTGAACCATCCTTTCTGCAAGTGCAATTTCTGCATATTGTCATGTCTGCATATTGCGATTTGCGTCAGCAATTCCGCAGTCAATCACATCCTGCAATCTAGTTAAGAAATGAGGCCCAACATCCCAAATTCTAAAATAGTCCTTTTTTTGTTCACCCAAGTTGCTCAATAAGAAAAAGTGAGGAGATCAGAGAGAATCACTTGGAAATGTTCTTGTATCCAAAGTTTTGTGTTCAGTTTCACACAACTGTGACAAACCACATCTACAGTCCAACTGGAACAAATAACCAAACCATCTCAACTCCGGACAAAACGTCCTCTTGGAACAAGAAAAAAAATGTGTCTATTGCATGAGCTTACTTTTGAGGCTGTGGACTTTCTTCAGTAGTTTTTCACCATCAAGTTCCAAAAAAAGCTTTTGAAAAGCTTCAAAGGTGTTCTTCAGTTGCTTTGGATATTCAAGGTTGAGAGCATAGATCAGTCCCATCAGCAGTACACATGCCTTGGTAAGGCTTCCACATCCTTCCATTACTTTGTTCCCCTCAATCACAATGAACACATCCGATGGATCCTCTTCAGCCATGGCATCGTGCATCACCAACACCTTCATCGTTTGCTCTGAGTAGCCCTCACATTCCTGCATGTAAAAAAAAAAAACATACCGATTTAAGTATTTTTTTTCTTTTAAAGAGGCTATTAAGTTTGTGGTGGAAATTAAAGGATGTAACGGCATCCAAAGACAGTAAGAAGTCATCATAAAAGGCAGAAGCCAACTCAGAGCAGAGCTGAGGAGCAGAGCAGAAATGAGGAGCAAAGCTGAGGAGAGGAGCAGAGCAGCAGAGGAGCAGAGCTGAGGACCAGAGCTGAGGAGCGGAAGACATACCTGGCAGTCATGGAAAAGATCTTCTTCCTTTTCACCGAGGTAGTTAATGAGGCAGCAGACAACTGTATCCCTTTTCTTCTCAATGCTTTGTGTCTGCAGGGAGACAGAATTTAGAAAAGACAGTGTAACTGATTTGCATGCACAAGACCAAATCTCCTTAAAAGTTTTCAATTCAAATAATGTTAGTAAGCATTGTGAAGAGCAAAACCATTGTTTTACAATTTAATTACATATAAATAAAACTTCTTACATCATTTACAGTATACAGCTGATGGCGCATCTTCTGACCAGCAACTCCACCTCTAGCCTGCATAAGCTTCAAAAGACGTGGTGTGTACTCATCAAGTTTCCGCATGAAAGTCTCCTCCAAGGACACTGTTGTTATACGTCTGAACTCATCCTTAATCTAGGGGGGAGTAAAAGGACAAAAAAACAACCACACATTTTAAATGGACCAGATCTCAAAGTAATCACATGAATGTTTGCATGATCAGACAGTCTCACCTGAGCCTCAGTGAATAACGCTGGCCACCTTTCTTTAAACACACTGATGGAGGGGCTCATGGTCACCACTTCGATTCTTCGGCTTGAGAAGGTTTTAGTCATTTTATCCGTGATTATCTTTGCATTGTTTTTCTTTTTCACTTCGTCGAGTAATTCAAGCCTCTCTTTATCCAGTGTCTCTTGGTTTTCTCCAACAGGGTGCGGGGGGAGGTAATTAACCTCAGCTTTTTTGGGTTTTTTCACATTTTTTGATGGGCCTGCTTCAGCTGTACGCATCCCCGTTAATGCGTTGATTTCTATTTCTGGGTAAGAATATTTTCGAGACTTTAACTTGGCACGATAATTGTGCATCTTATTTTTTATGCGTTGTTGCCAGCCATACAACCCTGAAAATGACCCTGGCTCCTTAAGACAAGGAAATTTGGCAACCAGGGCTTCAGCCACTAAATAGACATGTTGAGATGTTGGGTAAGCAGTGTAGGAAAAGATTTCTTTTGAAAGGTCTTGCATTATTGCTGATTTAACGCTGGCCTCCATGAAGAGGTTTCCAGTTGCATGATAGGATTTGTTTGCCTCTGCAAGGATTAGTTCTATGTCTCTGGAAAACTCTGGAATCTTGAATGGTTGTGGCCAGGGAGATGGGCGACAAGACTTGGGGAGAATAATGGTGTCCTGGGAACTTGTTGATGCGCAGTCAGACACCTGTGAGCCTTCATCATCTGCAGGGCAGATGTCCACTTCAGGATTACTTGCAGGACGGGAGCTCACTGAAATGGGAGAGCTCACTGTAGATGATGGTCCCGAGTCACGCACTGGGTGGAGGTCAAGGGTGATGGTCGGCTCTATAAGGACCACTTTAACAGTTGCCTTGTCATGCAAGTCAGCGGTTGAGGTGACACTGAAAAACTGATTGTCAAAGTCTTGATCTTGGTATAACAGTGCAACTTCCCTAGGTACTTGGAATGTTTTGGTGATGATTGAAACGAGCTCTTCCACTGTAGTAGGAAGTTCTGGAAGTGTCAATTTTTTAATGTTGTGTTCTTCCAAGATGACCCTTAAATGGACTGCCATTGTGGTTTTGTGGTTTCCTCAACTGTAGAGACAGAAAAAAAATAAAATAATTGAATGATAGAGTAAACATTAAAATAAGATAAATGTAATAACTACGACTGTGAAAAACTATTGTATATCGATATCACGATATTGTTTGTGCCGATGCCACGTATCGATACTTCATGCAAGTATCAATACTTGCAATCCAGACCGCCTCTGCACAACTAATTTTACCTTATAGTAATAGTTCAGGATTTTACAAATTGGACCTCATTTCCTAATGAGCCCGAGTGTTTAGAAATGTGTGGAGAGTTCAATGACTTGCATTGAATGGGAACTTCCTAAACTGCCTTTAAAAACAGTCTTAGCCGCTCTATAGCGACTTGTGACAAATATGGCACAACGCCAGGGCAACGTTTGGAATATCTGTGTTGATAGAATAAGGTTAGGAAGATACCGTTGACTTACATAGAATCCCATTAGCATTCGCATCGCAATGCTCCCCAAAGCTAGGGACTGGATATAACGTGTAAAAAACACTTCACACTCGAAGTCATTAGGTAATGAGGTCCAATTTATACAATCCTGAACCCTTTAACATCAAGGCGGAACCTTTTTTTCTTGTTTCCGGTCAGACTTTTGATAGCGTTACACTGGTCATAACGTCAATGTGCTGCCGGATTTCTACTGGGGGGGCTATGAATATGATGACTAGATATAAATGCACCACAGAATTTGACACAGTCTATTATTTTTGATAGGATGTGCCTATTCTTGTCAACCTCCTCATTGTGCTTTCTGATCCCTACCCTGTAGCTTTCATCCAGCTGGGATGAAATATTTATCTTCCCAAACATAGCTAATTTGAGGGAATTTTGCATGTGGATACCAGTCTGCTCATGCTTCTTTGCCTTTTCTAAAAAGTGCTTCAGATCAGTCATACCTGTCTTGATCCATGCTGGGTCAGATCCTGATGTTTGAAACAAGAGGCATGGAAAGCAAAATAAAGCATTAGCCTCGCTACATGCTGCTAGCCAAGATTTGGCGCTGAACCAGGTCCTGGACTGCTGACTAATGGTAATATTTGGCTGATCAGGTCCAAGCTCTTTAACCTCAACCTTCTCCTGGTATGATCTTCTCTCAAACGGTATTGTTTTGAGTGATCTAACTGAATTATTCTTTTTCTCGTTCTCCATTTTGCGTCTCTTTACGTTTGTCTCAAACTCCCACAGCTTGACCTGTCAATCACTGTAAACGGACGTCACAGACAGTGACAGTACAGGTCGCGGGCGATCCCGCCCCCTCAGGGCGCACTTCTCCTGCGCCCCCAAATCGTCTTATCTCTTGCATTGAAGAGGAGCTACTGCGCATGTACAACTTTTAACGAGAGTCCATAGACGGCTCAGGGCGCAATCTTTTGCGCCCTGAGGCGGAAATACGTCCTCAGTCCGACACAGACAACGCTGATGAGCTTAATCAATCCAACTCAGCATAAACTATAAAGTATTTCTTCCACATCTGAAATAAAACACACATACATTTCGAAATATTTTAATGTTATTATTTTTTTTAACGTTTTATTCAAGGTAACATGGCAAGTTGTGAGTGGTGGGGCGGCGCCCTAGCGCCCTCTATTGGCCGGCCGCCACTGGAATCTGCTAATGCTCAGTTTACACACCAGGCAACTGCTGATGGACCACAGATGCAAAATATTGCATTATGGCATTTTTTAACTTACGCAATGCACATGTCAAAATTATTGTTTTGACTCACGTTAATTACATTTTTTATTAACGCGTTATTTTTTTTAAATACCCGCCCATTTATCCATAAGAATATCACTCAGAATGCTGCGTGTGAGATGGCCTGCTCCGTGGCCGCTCTGGTTGTTGTTAGCGGCTGTGAGTGAGTGCAAGCTTTGCACGGGCTGCAATTAATCAACTAAAAAAAATGAATCGTTTGACAGCCCTAGTATATATATATATATATATATATATATATATATATATATATATATATATATATATATATATATATATATAATTTGAACCGAGAATAGAACACATCTTTCATGTCATGAATAAAAATAAAAAATCCAAACTTTTGGTCTGTACTGTACATACATGAGATGAGCACTTACACTTTCAACATGTCTTTTGTCCTATTAGATTTATTTAATTGATTTTTACATGACAAGCTATAATCAATCATGATCAAATGTGTGTGTTTGTGTGTGTGTGTGTGTGTGTGTGTGTGTGTGTGTGTGTGTGTGTGTGTGTGTTTGAGCATTTACAAAATCCGGGTCTACGGTGTGCTCCCCCTCAACCCTGATTAGCATTTGTATAGCTCACAGCATTGCCATTTACATGTTAAAGCCTCCTGTGGAGGAGGGAGGAGGGGACAACAAACTGCCGAATCCCAGAAGTTTCACAGTAATATACAGGGCCGAAAAGAGACGAAAATCACACTTTTCATGCAGTGATATGTTCTTTAGTTAGCATCATCTGTACTTTAGTTAGCATCATATGTACTTTAGTTAGCCTCATATGTTCTTTAGTTAGCATCATATGTACTTTAGTTAGCCTCATATGTACTTTAGTTAGCATCATATGTCTTTAGTTAGCATCATCTGTACTTTAGTTAGCATCATCTGTACTTTAGTTAGCATCATATGTCTTTAGTTAGCCTCATATGTACTTTAGTTAGCCTCATATGTACTTTAGTTAGCCTCGTATGTACTTTAGTTAGCATCATATGTACTTTAGTTAGCCTCATATGTACTTTAGTTAGCATCATTTGTACTTTAGTTAGCATCATATGTACTTTAGTATTTAGTTAGTGTGTGGTACACCCAAATATGTATTGCAGTATTACAGCAATGGCTTGTTTAAATTTATATTTGTGTAATTATTTGTCTGTAATTTAGAGATAATTAGCTTATATTTATTAAAATTAAATTTTGCAAACGGAGAAAATTTCGTAGGAACTGTTGTCATTCCCCGATGTAGAAGGAGGGCCGAATTGGCCGCGACACTGCCGAGTCAGTTTATTACAAGCCCCGGCGATCCAAGATGGCGCCCTATTCAAATGAATGGTTGTGCTCAGTGGCGCTTTGTGACGGCATGGGGGCTGAAAGATTAGCGGAAGTTGCCTGAAACTCGCAAAGATCTATGGGAAACTCGCCTGTATTTGGGCATCGTCTGGTCCTCCCGGTTCTGCGCAGTGGATGATCTCCCATAATGCGTTGCGCCAAACACGCGTGTGTGGGTCTCACACCGGGTCTCACGCACGTGCACAGAGGGGCTCGGCCGCGCTCTGACCAATCAGAGCAGTTCATCAGAGCGGGCGTTAGAGCGAGAGCCAGAGGAGCAGAGTTTGTGGCACTAAAGTGTGGATTTAAACAAAACCGAAGGATTTAAGAAGAAAAAAAGTTCAGGATGACAAGGGACACTAAAATCCCCACAAAATCCGATCTTTATTAAAGCTGTAGGTTCTCTGTCAGCTGAGGTTGAGCTGTTTTAATATGCATTGAGTCCTATGGGGAAAATTTCTGGGTAGCCCACGTGAATTTAGTCTGGTTCAGTCTGCAGTACCGCGAGAATCCCCTGAGCACATGGGTTATTCAGCTACAAGCTAGTAATACCCTATCCAGTTAATATAATACATCCATGGTTTATTATAGATCCATGGTTTTTCTCAAGCCCCGGTGATCCAAGATGTCACCCTATTCAAAAGAATGGGTTGTGTTAGGTTGCGCATGGGACTTCATGGAGACCGGGAGATTATCTGAACTCGCCTATATTTGGGCATCGTCTGGTCCTCCCGGTTCTGCGCAGTGGATTATCTCCCATGATGCCTTGCGCTTTCTCCCATGATGCCTTGCGCTATCTCCCATGATGCGTCGCGCCAAACGTGCGTGTGTGGCTTTCATGCATACGCATGGAGGGGCTAATGCTAGCGGCAGAGTCATGTTTTCGCGGCATTCTTCAGCCAGCATTAGCTTAGCCATGTTAAGAACAAATACCAGTAGAATGGTAAGATGTAGCGCCCTTTTATTTCAAAATTCCTCCTGTCATGTGAATGAATAAGTTGAGGACCCAGTCAGTTTTTGGTGAAGAGATGACAGTCTAAGTCATGAGTCAGTAATGCTAATTTTAATTTGTAAAAGTGTCTTATGTAAATATAATTTAGTATGAGTATTAATTTGAGAATATAGAAATAATTTTCTATAAAATTCTTGTGTAAAATGTGAATATGCTAAATGTTATTAATAAGTGACACAATCTGGAATTGAAGCGAGGGCTGAGTCAGTTAAAGCTGTAGAAGTACCTTGAATAGCAGGTTACATAACTGTGTTTCATAAATAATACCATTGAGAAAGAAAACTGAATGAACTAGTCAGACCACATGCGGTGTCTTCATGTGATTACAAACATGTTGGTGATACATCAGGTCTGAGAGGTGATTGGGTGAGCTGGGCAGTGAAACCATAGTGGACTTTTCCAACCTAAAAAGCAGATCTAAACCTGTGACAGAGCCCACATACAATTGTTGAAAACTATGACTGTACTAGTGTGTCTTGAGAGATATAAATAAATTAGATGTTTCACTTTTTGCAGTTTGAAATCAGGCACCTCAGCTTTAACAGTATGGCTTTATCTTATGGCAAAGGAAGCACCAGGCTTTCAAATGTAAAAACTGCATCCAAATGGTTCCATTGTTTACTTGTCCATAGCACTATTGACCATGAAGATGTATAGCTCATTACCTCTGCGCACCATCCTTTGCAAATCATTGTTGCACAAGATCTGTCCTCAGGCTCAAAACCCTTACATTAGTGAGAGAAAATATAGACAATGTGGGAAAAAAAACCTCAACAGAAATAGTATTTCGCCCTGAGCTATCTCTTGATGAGTAGAAAATAATTGAGGCCAAGGGAGCTGGTGGTGACAAATGCACCGGGCGACGACTTCCTTCATTAAATGGACGCATGGTACAATATGGAGCAGCGTTACTGTCGGAGAGGCCAAGTGCAAGACAAGAGAGAGGCAGAAAGCAGCTCGTTTAGACGCAGACGTCCTAACCCTGTTAGACGCACTTATTGTTTGACAGGGATTGTGTTTTGAGTGACAGAGAGAGGTCCGGCCGCTGTGTAAGTGTGTGTGTGTTCCTGGGGGGGGGGTTTGGAGGCGGTTGTCAATTGAAGCTTAGGAATTCCACTGAGGAATCACCTTCGTGGCCTGTTCATGTCGCAGCACCCAATTACTGCGGCTGTGTGCATTGCTATAAAATGGACGGAGGGGAGACTTCTCCTAATCATGGCTCTGCGGCCCCTACAAAGGCAAAAGGCTGCACAGGCCATTTGAATTTGAATGGAATCTCTCCTCTTTTGGCCCTCTTTCTCCTTTTTGTGCCTTCAATGACAAAAGAAGGGGCTAACAAAGATGGGGCACAATGCAATCAGGCTAATAGCTCTAATAAGTTGAGCATGGGGTCCTCAGCTCTCTCTTGACACATTTTGCTGTGTCTGTGGCTAAACAGAAGCTCAAGTGTTTGGGACCAGGATGTATAGAGTGCCATGAAGTGGGCGCCCAGTACCGGGTTGCCATGCACGCTTAGAGACAAACAAAAGCAAAAAAATCATCAGCAATAAACCACAGCAGTACCCCACTGCATTGTGGGAAGTAGTCATTATGAGTCTTTGGAAACTATTTGTCTTTATTTATTTGATGCTGAAAGCAAAATTCTCCTGTCAGTGTGATTCATGGGCCGCAGTTACCGTCAGAGCGGGTCAATAAGAGGATAGGTATCCATCATGGCCACAACCAGACTGCTTTGGAAGTGGCCCTTTGCTCCTGTCTGTGTTTTTTGCCAGTTTGTAGAAGTATCTAATGTTCTGCCTGAGGGTTGGTCCATCAGTCGCCCGAAGGAGACCCTCAGGACAAAGATGTACCAATGCTTAACCCTTTAATGTTCACTCCTTGAAGAAAGCAATGAACAAATGTTTCACATATAAATTCTTCTTTCTCCCGTTGGAACAAAGAAGTCCGGGCCTCGCTGCTGTGGTCATGTATGTGCAGCTCTGGATGAAATGTCCCCATCCCCTGTTGTTACTCCGGCCCATCATTACAGGATTAGATCTTGGGCTCGGTCCATGTGTGAATGTGTTCTGCGTGTATTTACTTGCATTTTGAATCTGGTATGTTTTTGATTATTTTTCGGCACGCACGGCTAAACAAATGTCAGTGCCACTTTCCCTGTGTTTGTGATGCTAATCCCAAGTGTATGTGACCTCTCTTATAAATAACACTTTACTGAAGCTCAGGTTATTCAAACAGCGGAACACTAATTGAATAGTGTTTGCGAGCGGCGGGAGGCTGAAAAGCATTTGCCTCGAGTGACATCCATCACGGCGCAGTGGGGAAGCTCAGATATGGAGGAATTGGGAAGGATAAAAAGGGGGATGGCAGTTGAAAAGAGGTCAGACCTGTACGACTTCCTTAGAGGAGGAAGGTAGATAGAAAAGAACAAGGGATCAAATGAAAGGAAGAGTGTGAAGGAAGCTGGATTAAACAGTTTGTGTCATTCAGGCTCCTACATCCCCATGCCTCACTTCACTCTGAGCTTTAATTCCACACGCCAATTTGCATGTTCATGTGCTCAATTTACTCCCTTTAGAGTCATTCTGAATGAGAAAGTTTCAAATTCAAACTAGAATAAATCTAAACTTGTTTTTCAGGTTTCTGCTTAATGCTAAAAATCCTTTTGAATTGTTTTCTTTCCTTTTCTTGTTTGACACTAATCCATGAGTGCTTAGTTTAACCAGCGTCTATGGCACAGCAGGGGACAAAGGGGCGCGGCCCGGGTTAGGTCCAGGCCTGTGTTAGGTCCGGTCCTGGGTTAGGTCCAGGCCCGGCTTAGGTCCAGGCCCGGGTTTCAGCCCTTGCTGCTGTGACAGTGTGAGGTCAGAGTAATGAGAAGGCGGCGGATCAGAGTCTAGTCATAATAATAATAAACAGCGGTGGAGGTGTATCATTTTCACGGCTCTGGCTTATGCTCGTCTGGCAGTAACAGGTCCCAAATCACACTCTCAGCACGAACCAGGAGAGGTCCCACAGCTAACGTACGCTGACACAATTTCAGAGATGAAAACGGTAGTTGTGTTTGCTGGAGTGTAAAATATAGCTCCAAAGGAAAAAAGGTGATTTCCAAGTGTTCATTTTAGAATAGGAGATGAATGTGCAGTGGAAATGGCTTCGAGCTGAAATTGTATTAAAGAAACCTGCAATAGGCCGAATTCAGCTGCAGAGCCACATATATATAGCTATACATGTACATATAGATAGATAGATATAGGTTTGCAATAGAGTACACACTGACTGTTGTTACAGTGTTTTAATAGAGTGCCAGTATTGTACAACCTAGTGTTTCCAGCTGCACTTGGGCAGTGGTTATTCCCAAATAAGCAATAAAGACTGTGGCCAAACTTATTTATTGAAGGCTGTAGAATTGTCGGTGGAAAAGGCTGGGAGCAGAATTTGACCCTTGCTTCTGTAACATGCGATTCACTTAAGCCTCGAGAGCCACTCCCTAAAGACACTTCTCATTGTGTTATTGTGTGAAGCTTCCATTTTACCCCGAGGCCAACAAGCAACAGCAGCGTCTGAAATCTGCTGTGGGGGACTTCTTTGTTCTTTAGGTCCTTCATCAGAAACAGTGGTATAAGTTTGTATGTTTGTCACATAGCTGGACATTTTAATGTGAATTCCACCACGTGGTTACACTGTTTGAAGCATATTATTTTCAGATGATTTTAATAACTTTATTCTTAAAAAGATGCAGTTTTGACAGAGACTGTTTCAGAAAGACAGTTTGTTGGACTCGCATTCAGAGTTTTTATCAAATCATTTCGACCTCATGGTAGATTATGGTTTTCTTAAGTTCTCTTCATGAATGGGCTCAACGTGTTTTAAAGAGGATTTGAATTGAAATGTTTCTGTTTGAACTTTTCTTAATCCTGCAGCAGACATAGAAATGACTCAAGTCTTTTTCTAAGTGAATAAATTTAATGTACTGACTCTAATTTCCCTTTATGTAAATGTAATAGTTCCACAGTTCTCAGATTATAAAGTTCCAGTTTTTCATCTTGTTTTACCGTCCTGTACTGAGCACAGCGGTCGGATAATAACCGTGGCTTCTCGCTCAGCCGCGAGCGTAGGTCGTTATGGACTTGACATTTATAGTTCCTTGACTCTTTGCAGTGAAGTCGCTTTTGCAGAAAGTGGAGATTCTGAAGAAATTACTCTTTTTGTTTCATTGTTTAGAATAAAATATACAACATAATAATGTTCAATGCAAATGTTTGGTTCAAAGTTAAACCTTTGAAACCATCTGCAGATTTATTGGCCCTGGTCCTTCAAGGCTTTGTTGGGTTTTAGCATGTCGAGTTTACAACCTGTAGTGTGTGTCTGTGTGTGTGTGCTTGTGTGGGCTGGTTTGTGTGTATGTGTGTGTGCTAATGGGGCCCTTTTCACAGTACGTCTTGCCTTAAAAACACAAGTCTAATTGCGACTAATTTGCCCGACGAGAAGCGGCAGTAAACATTCACAATAAACCTTCTGGAATCCAACGTCTGTTTGATAAAACAGACACGAGAAAATCGACTGTCATAAACGCACATCAAAGCAAGAATCTAGTTTATAACTCTTTTATGTCGCCTAAGGTTGTAAAAATATTGAAAGGTCCATTGATTGTGTGGCTTTGTTCCTAACGGTTCTTTTCGTTTTCTTTTTGCAGAAACACTTATGGACACAAAGTGGGCTACGACAGAACTGGCCTGGACGGCACACCCAGAAACAGGGGTAAGTTTAGTAAATCTAATATATAAGAGTTTATGTTAGGGCTGGGCGATATGGCAAAAAAAAAAAATCTCCGATTTTTTCACACCAAATCCGATTTTCGATTTTAATCGATTTATTTTTTTCTATTTAAAAACAAACTACAACTGACAAAGAAATAGATTTTCCTTTATGCAGTTTAATCTAAATCCCCATGGAGCATAAGTGTAACAGGAATTAAGCCTTAAAACATGCTTGTAAACGAGATGGCTCTGCCATTGTAAACAGTGAAAATGTAGCTTAACAGTTTTATAATAACTTCACTTACAATGACACTATGCACCTTCAAAATAACTTAAATCACACAAACACGGCCCATCGCAAATATATCAATCCTATTAAACACATGCATTATTTACATGAAATATCACATTTTTAAAACTGATTACTCAAAATAGAAATGTTGTAACAGACAGTCTTTTCCAAAAGCCTCCTCGGGTTTTCATGCTTGTTCTTTCAACTGTGCCTGAGTAACTGTGCTGTAGTACAACGCTTGGTCCAGCTGGTGGCGCTAATACTAACTTCAGTGACTCCCGCATTGTGCGAGCTTCCTGTTTACATTCTGATGCTGTAGCTAACAGCTACTGTAGCAGCTACTGTAGCTAACAGCTACTGTAGCAGCTACTGTAGCTAACAGACAGCGGGGAACACGTTGTTTGTATCAGAGCAATGAGAGCAATGTGTGAGACGTGTCTTTCCCCAAAGTGCAGCGGCTCAGTGGGACACGAGTGTGTGCGCGCCACGGACACGGGAGTGCGCTTTGGAATAACGAGCGTGAGAGAGCGTGAAAGATGTGGCGTACGAACATGGCGTACGAACATAGCGACCGGAGCCTGCGTGCGTGTGTGTGTGTTCTGCCGATTAAATAAAGTCTGATTCTTGAACGTTTGAAGTGTTATTGCAACAGCACCAACTGTGAGAGCGAGCATCAGGCCAGAGGGAGACTGTTAGCATTAGGTTAGATTCAAAATGACTGCTCAACACCATAGACCCGCGGTTAGCGCGTTAGCGCTGTAGTTCTGCGCTGGAGAAAATAAAAATCGAATTTTTAAAAAAAGAAATCGCCCTAAACGTAAAACTCGAATTAATGATTAAAATCGATTAATCGCCCAGCCCTAGTTTATGTGACTTGTTATTCAACGAGATGCACTGATTAAGGCTGAAAAGCTCCAATCCAAAGTATTACATCGACCCCACACAGATGTTTCTCTTCCAATCGCACACTTGAACAAAGGTCTAAAACAGTCAGTTATATCTGGTAGTTCACCCTCAGACTGAGCTCGCACAAAGTGGCACCGACAGGACCGTGTTCCCATGTGGTTTTCTAAAGGGTTCCACAGAGGAGCAGGAAAAGGCTGGACACTCCGAGACCATACTTCAAATGTGCAAAGCTCTCCTCCTCTTTGCTTTTGTGTGGCCTGTCTGACTCGGACTGCCACTCCATTTTTTTCCTTCATTGTCTTTCTCCATTCCCTCCACAAATGACCCCACCCCAGCTGTTCCGAGTCACCCCACCTACTTATTCTGGCTTTAATTCAGAGTAACTGAGCGCTAATGAAGCTAGCCACACCAGGCACCAGTGGAGGCAACAATCACGGCCCACCCCCCCCTTTGTACCGTCCTTTCATGGCCCCTAACCCTTGTCCATCTCGGGCTGGTTTTAAAAGCTGCCATTCAACTACGATCCGTCAAGTTTTGCAAACACATTGGCGTCCTTGCATCCACCAGCCAAAGTAGCAACAGATGCTCCTTTTGAAGACATATTCATACAGTGAGTGAGCCACACACTCCACATTTTCTGTTTCGCAAAGAAAAGCAGTTGGTCTTGTTTATTCATTGGGGCTGATTGTGCTGTTTTTCAGCTTTTTAATGTATTCAGCTAGAAGAACAAAACTCAACATTGGGTCCAGTGAACATTCTTTCCATTTTAATCTAACACAATCCTCTTCCTTAAGTTTTAGTCTATGAACTAATGACTTTGAGACTCTATTAGAAAGTTCTTAGCGTTCTTAACTGTCAATATTTGAAGCCCATTTAGATTGATCAATACCTGCACATTGAGCATTGAGTTATCAAAAGTGCTCATTATAGATGTATAGCAGCTGACAAAAGATACACACAAGCTTAAAAACACAAATTTGAAGGTACTATTAAAGCCATGTGTGCGTCTGCCTTGGTGTGTCCCAAAGACCAAACACATCATGTCAATTTGTTACAGCCATTTTATTTTTACACATAATTCTCCACATCTGGTTTGTGCATTCCCCAACATACGGTGCATAGAGGAAACACATCATCTACTATACTGTATGTATAAAATAAAGAGGCCTGAACGCTACCGCTCCGATGAGGCCCATGATCTGCAAAAACAAATCAATGTCTGGAACCTTGACCTTTGTCGTCCTGTTTAATTCACTGAGGGTTCGTGAGTAGAGTGTAGCTGGAGGAGGACTGCTGCTCACTTAGCAAAGCACACCATAGTTTGAATACATGCAAAGTACTCTGGGTGATTTATGACTGCAAACTGAACAGCCATTGACACGTTATGCTTTCTGCCATTGCATTGACCTGGCTACTGATTATCGATTCTCCACGGCTGCGTCTTCATCCTCCCCTCAGCCTCGTGTCGAGCCATCGCTGCATTTCTCTCTCTCCCTTGTGGCCTCCAGGGTCTTGGATGAATGGCCTTGTCTTTGCCACATCCATATTGCCGGCCTAATTAAGAGGCCCACGGCTCGGAGCAAAACAACTATCAGTGTTTTTCTGTGCAGCTAAACGCGGTGCAAAGTTTTATCCCCTAAAGGAAAACAGCAGGAAATTCATTTACACTTTGAAAGTAAATGATGTAGTTGGGTCAACATATTATCCAATAGATTTAACTTGGCATCACTTAGCGTAGCAATCCTTACTAAATGATTTTTAGTGTTTGTTTGCAAAGACAGGGAAAGGCATTACCTCCTACATTACAGAAGCTTTTAGGTTCTACATGCACTTATTTAGCTAATCATGGCTTTAGAATCATTTTTCTATCTCAGTAAAGCATCTCCTGAGTCTGTAGTGTTTAGAGCAGAGACAGAAGGTTAACTGGAGCCTATGGTCCCTTCATTAAGCATGTTGTGCTCATTGCTCCATAGCGCTTGTCTAATTGGTCGTGAAGGAGTAAAGCTGATATGGGGTAAACATGTTACGGTGAGATGCTGACGCTCGGCTGTAATTGTAATAAATTCCCTCGGTTCAAAACCCAATTTCTCACAACAATAATTCATGATGAAAGGCTTTTGATATCGCATAAAAAGAGACAGAAGAAAGAGATTCCTTAGCTCTTGTTGCCCCCGGGTCACAACCTCTGCCATGTTACTTAACATGACTCATAATGTTACATAATGGGCTCTGAATCTGAGCTCCAGATGGACAGATAAAAACAAGCTTTTTCTACTTTGACATGAATTGCTTTGGAAATGTTTTTTTTTTGTGTGTCTGAATATTACTGATTGTGGTTATTCTCTCTGCAGTGGGAAGAGGTCAGCGGCTACGACGACGCCATGAACCCGATCCGGACATACCAAGTGTGTAATGTACGTGAGCTGAACCAGAATAACTGGCTGCGGAGCGACTTCATCCCTCGGAAGGATGTGCTGCGCGTGTACGTGGAGATGAAGTTCACTGTGCGTGACTGTAACAGCATTCCCAACATCCCCGGCTCCTGCAAAGAGACCTTCAACCTCTTTTATTATGAATCCGACTCAGACTCAGCCACGGCCACCAGCCCCTTTTGGATGGAAAACCCGTACGTCAAAGTGGACACGATTGCTCCAGACGAGAGCTTTACAATGCTGGAGTCCGGTCGCGTCAACACAAAAGTGCGAAGTTTTGGACCTTTATCTAAAGCTGGCTTCTACTTGGCCTTTCAGGATCTTGGTGCTTGCATGTCCTTGATTTCCGTCAGGGTGTTTTACAAAAAGTGCTCCACCACTATTGCCAACTTTGCTGTTTTTCCTGAGACGGCGACCGGTGCTGAAGCCACGTCTCTGGTCATTGCTCCTGGTACGTGTGTTCCTAATGCCTTGGAGGTTTCTGTGCCACTCAAACTCTACTGTAACGGAGACGGGGAATGGATGGTCCCAGTAGGAGCCTGCACCTGTTCGTCTGGGTTCGAAGCCGCCATGAAGGAAACGCAATGCCAAGGTGAGTTCTATCAGTGCTAACAGACTAGATATCAGTACAAATCAGAATCAGTATCACTGTTATTCCCATGTAAGTAACAGGAAGTCACAGACCAGGAAACTGCTTTGGCTTTCGGTGCAAACAAGTCAAAATAGAAAAATGCATAATTAAAATATACAGACATTTCTAAAATATAGAAATCTAAATTATTACAAAACCTTTGGCATTGATCAGGTCGTCAAACACGCAGCTAACAAAAATAGTTTGTAGTTCACTTGCAGCGGTTAATACGGTCATGGCATGTTATACATCATTTTCTCAGCCACCGCACATTCTTTCTTAACCAGAGCTCTCCAACCGGTAGCTCGCCAAAGGATTTAGAAATTAACAAATCAAATAATGAACAATAAACAAATGTCACAGGTAGTAACAAATATGTGATGATGAATAATGACTGCACACAATATCAGGCTCGTTTACACCAATATATCACATTCTTCCAAGGCTGTTTAAAGAAGTAGCTTTCTGCCTTTATGGTCCTGGGAAAGTAGCGCTCTGCCTTTATGTTCCTGGGAAAGTAGCTCTCTGCCTTTATGGTCCTGGGAAAGTAGCGCTCTGCCTTTATGTTCCTGGGAAAGTAGCTCTTTGCCTTTATCGTCCTGGGACAGTTGCTCTCTACCTTTATGGTCCTGGGAAAGTAGCTCTCTGTCTTTATCGTCCTGGGAAAGTAGCTCTCTGTCTTATCGTCCTGGGGAAGTAGCTCTCTGCCTTTATCGTCCTGGGAAAGTAGCTCTCTGTCTTTATCGTCCTGGGAAAGTAGCCCTCTGCCTTTATCGTCCTGGGACAGCAGCTCTCTGCCTTTATGGTCCTGGGAAAGTAGCTCTCTGTCTTATCGTCCTGGGAAAGTAGCTCTCTGTCTTATCGTCCTGGGGAAGTAGCTCTCTGCCTTTATGGTTCTGGGAAAGTAGCTCTCTGCCTTTATGGTCCCAGGAAAGTAGCTCTCTGCCTTTATGGTTCTGGGAAAGTAGATTTCTGCCTTTATGGTCCCAGGAAAGTAGCTCTCTGCCTTTATGGTCCTGGGAAAGTAGCTAAATACGTCCAAAAAATAATCCAAACTCATATTTATCAAAAGATGAATATAGAAAACAACCTTAGAAGCAACAGTTGAGCTTTAAACAGACTCAAGGACAATAATGGAAGCAAATCCATCAAATTCATTCATTCATTGAACAAAGGAACCATTGAATGATTTGTTTTGGAGTCTGATGGTGAGCAGCGTTTCCCAAATCAATAACGTATCATTTTCCATCTAGAATAATGAGCAGTGAGTGAGTCTCGCTCTGGTTTGTATGTTTAGATGAAGACTATGATTCTGGCTCAAATCCACCGTTATGCTTCATCACAAACCATTTAGTCGCCTTGTTTCCTCTGACACACTAATCTACTGCTCTCAAATAACCGGTGACACTGGCGGCGGGCCTGGCCTCCCTCCTCTGACCCTCGTTTGTGCCTGGCAGCTGGTGCAGGTAAATAAATGAAACCGGCAATACGGTGTGGTGTGTGTTTATGAGTGCCGCTGCCGGGAGGGACGCCACGGTTTCAGGTTAGATGGAAAACATGATGGGTTCACAGAGGTTGAGAGCAAGGTGAATTTAAACAGCGCCAGGTCTCTGCTTAAATGGAGTGCAGTGACAGCAGGGGGGGGGGGGGGGGGGGGGGGGGGGGGCAGTGGGGTCAGGGGGGCGGAAAATTAGGCTCCGGGTGCAGATGGAACCAAGACAGGCGAGCCGGAAAGAGAGACGGCTGAAAATATCGATCACTCGGATGGATTGCACTGTAGGGTGCATGAAATTGGAAAAACAAGAAACGACTGTTTTGCATGATTTAATTATTATTATGATCGTTTTGGTCGTTCGATCGTTCAAAGTCCAGGAATCAGAATCACAAAAAATCTATTTGACGAATTTCAACATGTTTGATGGTTGTTAATTACAGGGACATCAGAAACCTGTCAAACACCATGTCATCCAGCCAACTTCAGCTCTGCTAATATACACATGTCAGATATATTTTCAAAGCAGTACCTCAACAACTTCTGTGAGAAAATCAGCAATCATCATTCAGGCAACTTCAGTTTCACCAAATGTAAAGATAATGTTTTATAAAAAAGAAAAACTGTAAAATTCATAATTGGCCAAGAAAAAAGACTTGGTATCTATCAGTGATGGTCCTAGTAGATATTCATTATGTATCTTTAATGTGATTTTCATGTAAGGATTATATCAAAACACTCTGTGTTGCTGTGATCAGGTGTGTTTTGCTAAAGAGCACGTCCACATGGTGAAAAAGTCGTCTGTTTGCTCAGTGACAGCTCAAGGTGAAAACCCGAGTGACCGCGGCGTGATCAAACCCACTCTAATCAAGGCCCCCTGGAACCACACCAGATAAATCTTCATGGTTCCCCAAGTACCAGTCCTGGCTTTAGGCTTTTTGTCCTGAGGGGCCACATTTGGAAAACACTTCCATCTCTTTTTAATTTGACTATACAGTCGTTACATTTCTTTCCAAACAGTGTACACATATACATATAGTATACATACATACATAGATATACGTATAGATAGATAGATACTTTATTGATCCCTGAAGGTGAAATGCAGGTGTCCAGTAGCAGCAAAAAAATAGTACAATAGTAATAATAAGCAACAGCCATGTCACAGCAGCATAGGTGGAGTTAAATAAAACCATAAGTGTTGGACCTGCTCTTTCACTGTGTTTAGGACCAGGTGAAATACAAGGACCCAGAATAATGGTTTAATGATAATAAAATAAAAGTCCAGGTGAAAACAAAACTCAAAAATCCAGGAAACAAGGAACAGGACGGAACAGAACAGACATTGACAATGATAAATAAATATTATTGACATTAATTTCCTCAAACATTCAAAGGACAAAATGGTGGCAGAATGTTGTAGTGTGGTTTGACACAGTGTAATGCATGTACTTGACCTGAGCCGAGTAATATCATGTATTATTTTATTCCCATTTGTTTTGCATTTTCTAACTCACTATTCCTCTCCCATCCGCTCCCTTATGTCTCAAGGCTGTTGCTCTCATTACTGCACGACCACAGTCTCAGTGAGGACGGCTGCATTAATATTAATTGTAGAGCCTGTTATGCCCTCCCCCCCCCATTACCCCCCCTGTTATACCCTCCCCCTGTTACACCCCCCCTTCTTTCCACTTCTTACCCATCGCTGCAGCACATTTTTCGCCCCAATATTCTTTACTTTTCTCCATGCTCCACACTTTTCCAATTTGAGCATACATTCTAATCAGTTCCTTAAGCTCTGTGTTTCGCTTGAGAGGAGAAAACACAAGGGAGTGGGGGAGGTGTGTGTGTCTTTGTGTGTGTGTGTGTCTGTGTGCGTGTCTGTGTGTATGTGTGCGTGAGCGTGAGTCTGTGTCTGTGCGTGTGTGTGTCTGTGTGTGTGCGTTTTATATTTTTTGATTTTATACAATCAATTCTTGTATAAAATCTTGTGTGTGTGTGTGTGTCTCTGTGTGCGTGTTTGTGTGTATGTGTGCGTGGGCGTTAGTCTGTGTCTGTGCGTGTGTGTCTGTGTCTGCGTGCGTGTGTGAGTGAATGAGGGGGGCTGTAAGATTAGCATTTGTGGTGCCCCTGCTCTTCCGGCCTCCACTGTAGACTTTTGTGTTGCTTTTTGCCCTAAACCTGCTGCTGTGTCTTTGGGGAAACACATTAGAGGCAGTTGGCCCTGACCCTGTTTGAAGCAATAATGTAATGGTCCATAATGACTCGTTCTTCCATAAACAGAAAACCTCTGTCATAGAAAGTGTGTTTGTATAAACTCAAAGGCTGGAAACCAATAATGTGTTTTGGTTCTAATGTTCCTGAAATGTCACGGCTGATTAAAGGCCTCAACTGTTTTGGCAAAATGTCCCAGTAGGATTTTTCAGACAAGCGTTACTATTGTTATTATATTTGTAATACATTTCTTAATGTATGAGTATCATGAGGAAGTTACATGACACGTCCAGGATATGAAGGCTTGAAACGTTATGACAGCGAGGGCTACGAAAATCAATAGAAGAAATACAAGGAAAATGTGTCGGGAAATGTTTGTAGGTAACCAGGTCAAAATAGAACGTTTTTAAACTTCTTAAAGATACAAGAATTGATTTGCCATTTGCAGTAAAACCACATTGGAAAAACTGTGCAAGACTCTCCAAGTGTGCATCAGCAATCTAGAAATATGACACAAGAATAGTTATTGGAATCATTATATTTGCAAACGTTTACAAATTATGTATTCTTCCTCACTGTTTAATTTATTAAAATGAGACTTTTGGGTGCACTTTTTACTACTCATTACTCACTTTCTTCTTCTTTGGGGCCCTCAGCTTCTGCAGCTTCACTCGGACATTTGTAAACGTTTTGTAAATAAAGATAATTGAATTGAAGCTAGAAGAGATTAATGAACACGTTTAAAGCACACAGCTACTGTTTAGCCGAGCAGTTCCTCAGAGTCATCTATTACGGCTGCTTGGAACCAGTGGAAAGAGTTTGTAAAGTTTACCAAGTGAACTCAGATGAACCGTGGCTCTCTGTGACAGAAGTGGCTCATTCTCCCACCTGGTAAAGACCCCTGCTTTCTTATCTGTGTATAAAGCTGCCCTTCCTGTTAGCGAGCCGTGTGGATGGCTCTGATTAATGGAACGAGTGCAAACAGTGTCCGTGCTAATGTACACGCCGCTGTCAACTGCAGCTCTTGTGCTAATATTGAACTTTGGTGGAAAAAAGAGGAAAAACACTGCAGCAAGAAGAAGCCGTCTGCCGTGGGTCGACCTCCGACCACAGGCACTATATTAGGAGCGGGTTTAGCTTTAATGTGAAAGAGAACCATTACAGCTAACTCAAACAGGCTATTTCAGCGCTAATGTGGAGCCAAACGTATGCTAATGCTTTGGTTGGTAGCAAGTTTCCAAGCCCGGGTCTGTCCCCTGCATAGACTGTAAATATTAATAATTTTTCTTTTTTTGAATGGCCGCTCCCACAGGGAAATGTGAAAACACGCATTCGCCCCATTCACAAGTCGATTACTGAGCTCGAGGACTTGACTTTTACTTTCTTTGCGTGTCAATAGAAGTCAGAGCCATTAGGAGCAAAATCTCGTCCATGAGCACTTCCCCATCGGGCTTCATTGGGCGAGAGGGTTAGCATTGTCCATCTGCAAACAGTCTATGCCTCCAACCCATTTCCACAAGAGAATGTATATATTCATAGATCACTCAGAATACAGACAAATGTGCCAATTGGTCAATACATCAGGTTGATAAAAGTTGTCCTCGCACTTTGAACTTTTACCGTTTTTATGAAGTGACACTGTTTGCTCACAATCTGAGGCTTATCACGAACGCAATAAAAAACATGTCTCATCAACCGCCGGCTTTTCACTTTCTGCTTCCAGTGAAAACCAAGACGTGCATAGATCTCACTTTCACTGCCTTCATGGGTCGGACCACGTTTGGTTTTGAGGCGGGAAGCTTTGAAATGACGACGTTTTGAAAGATGGAGTCAGATGTCCTGTTTGTGAATGAAGATATCATACATGAGATTGTTTATATTTATGCAGTAATCGTGGGCAGGATGGAGTAGATAGATAGATAGAGCAGCAGAAACACTACCATCCAAACAAACAAAACAAATAAATAGATCATTCTAAAAAGCAACAATAGTAACAATAGGTCTGATGATGTGGAGCTGATAGTTTCACATGAGCTTTACTTGTGCACAGAGCGTGTGGAGAGAGAAACACACAGAGTCACTGGGTTAAGGCTAGTGTTCTACTATACACCAATGTTATTTTATGAGTTTGTGTATAAATTAGGGCATCATTACACAATCAAACTGAATTTCAGGAAGACAGTGAGCATGTGGGCTGTGGAAAGGTCAATGTCGCCTCAGTAGCAAAAGTCAACAAATTATTGTATTTAGATTACTGGTTTAACATTTTATGATAAATAAAATAGATAATAGGAGATCGGAGTGCCCTGGTTTGTACCTAACCTTTATCGCACATATTTTGTTTGTTTTCCTACAGATGTCTGTGAAAGTAAACTGTTGTAAACAAATCAAACCACAGCATGCTGTAATTTTCTTTTGCACTCTACATTTAGTGATCGGAGGAGAAAGAAATTCTAAAATACATTCATGTGAAAACTTAAGAATAGAAACACATTTTTATATGTTTTTTTTCCTTTTATTCACCCAATAATTACCCAGCACAAAGCAACATGTCAGTCTTATAATACAAAAGATAAATGGAATAACAGTTTTGCACTAGCTTGAGCACTTGTCTGTGTCCTCCTCAGCCTGCAGTCCTGGAACCTTCAAGTCCAAACAAGGCGATGGCTTCTGCCTCCCGTGCCCTGCCAACAGCCGGGCCACGTCGGGGGCCGCCAGCATCTGCTCCTGTCGCAACGGCTTCTACCGCTCGGACACAGACTCCTCCGAGTCTCCCTGCACCAGTAAGAATTACCTTTAGGACTTCACCAAGTTGGAAATATATCAGGGTGTGATATTTCTGACTAACATGGAGATTGTGTTGAGATTTATGATTCTGTAGGTTTAAATTTTTTATATTGGATTGTGTGTTTAGCTAAAAAAAACAATTCCCACGGATTTCAGAAAATGGTTTCGGTCATCTTCACTGCAACAATGAGATGTGTCCACTAATTTTCTTCCGGTTTCTCCGTACCCAGGTCACGGGGGCATCACTCCCAATCAAGTTTTATGTTCTTCAAAAACGTTTTAATTTAGTTAGACCTGAGCTGTGCACATACAGTTTATGCCAATTATGAGCCAAACAATGGTTCTCCCCCACAACAAGACAAACTACTTGCTTTTTCATTGACAAAAATAAATAAATGAATACTGAATCCAAAAGAAATGTTACCGATTTCAAGTGATTTGTGATGTTCCAATTGCGCCCACGGAGACATTTGATTTGTGATTCATTTACCTCCAGAGCGGTGTCCTCTCTCTTCTCAGCCTGTGTCAACACCGGCTGCTATAAAAATTAACTCCTACTGTAAACTACGTCCGGCCAGACTTCCCTCTTTGAATTGTAGCGTCTGTGGCTTTTTATCAGCCTTCAGGGGTTTGTTCCCAGCGAGCCGCGGAGATAGCAAACAAATCTGCCAGCGTTCCCACCGTTATCCTCAGGCCTTATCAACCCCACCTTCACCGCCCCAACTGCCACAAAACCCATCTCCTGTAATGTCACCCTCCTTTTCTGCAGCACCATTTCTAGCACTTTTATGTTTTGCATTGGCAGAAATATTATAGTATCTTTGTGAGGAGGTTTTTATTCCCGCAGCAGGGACAGAGCCGGGTTATTCCACAGAGCAGCTGGAGATAAGGCACTTTAATTGGATAAGACTCACTTGTTTTTCCTCACTTTCGACACTCTGCAGTATTTGAACTCTTGTCCTCGACTGAAACGCTGAAAAGTGAAGGACGTATTGTCGCTTCAGCGCAGGAGATTGCTTGTATTATGTTGATAGAGGGAATGATTCAATGCAAACCCGCGTTTCTATGCACAGTTATTACACAGTGTTCGTGTTAACCTTCGCCACAAGAAAATGACGTTCAATCTTATTTCTATTTCAGCCATTCCCTCGCAGCCGCGCAATGTCATCTCCAGCGTCAACGAGACCTCCCTGGTGCTGGAGTGGAGCGACCCGCGCGATATGGGCGGACGCGACGACATTTTCTACAATCTCATCTGTAAGAAGTGTCTGCCCGAGAGAGGGATGTGCACCCGCTGTGACGACAACGTGGACATCTCTCCTCGCCATCTCGGTCTGACCCAGCGGCGCGTAACCGTGCGCAATCTCCAGGCGCACACCCAGTACAGCTTTGAGATCCAGGCTGTGAACGGGGTGTCCAGCAAGAGCCCCTACTCGCCCCATTTCTCCTCCGTGAACATCACCACCAATCAGGCTGGTAAGAATACACTATATTCTATTCTATTCTATTCTATTTATTCTGTTCTGATCTAAATCACATCTAAGAGGACTTAACAAAACTGTTGAATTTGCCGACACATACTGTATCAGAGAATCAAACAGAAAACACACTGGTATTGCTTTTAACCTTCATGTTACTTTTTTATGTATTTATATACTTTTGATTATTTGGCTTTGTTTTGTATTTTAATCTGTAGCACTTTGAGGTTTCCTGGAAATGTAAGTAGCACTTTAAATAAAATGTATTATTATTGGTCCATAAGGAGCAGAGACCAATGTTCATAAAAGAAGAATATAAATTTATAATAGAAATACAAGACAAACAAAGACCTTTCAGGAGGTCTGAAGAAGCAGTGATCATTGTTTTGCTCGTGTGGGAGTGTGCTACATTATTCTTTGAACATGGATCAGGAAAATTCTTATGAATGGGACCTTTTTTTTGCACACCTACGCTTGGCTGCTGTATTTACACAAAACTGAAAATAGCAATAGTTCCTGAAGCTTTGCATATTGGCAAAGAGCTGCCCACTGACTACAACACGCCTGTATCACGCCTGTATCACGCCTGTAACACGCCTGTAGCACGCCTGTAGCACGCCTGTAGCTGCAGTCCTAACGAGGCCATTCAGACTAAATGGGCTTTTTCTGCTTCTTCAACTAAAACTATATTACTGAAGTAACATAAGCGGGTTTTTCTTTGGCTATTTAACAAGGCTTTCCTCGTGTAAGACTCAACTTTCTAAAGAGCATATAGTTTGTGGTGAAGGGCGTTTGAATGATCTTGCCTGGTTTCTATGGTAACTGTGGTAACTGTCAAATGCTTAGACTGAGGTCCGTTCATTTCTTCGTCTGAGGTTGAGGTACAGATTAGCGGCAAGTAAACGAGAGATAATAAAAGGATGAATAAATGTACAAATAGAAATACCCAAACTAAAAAGGAGAAGGCAGAAGCAGAGTGTGTTAAAGCCAAACCCAGTTCCACATAATCTTTGTCGGGACATTTCCTTATTATTTTGAGAAGTGGTCACAATATTTCAAAACATAAGGGTGACGCCATTAGAAAAAGGACTTTCAGACACAAATAATTAACTCGGAAATGGCAAATAAACTCTTGAATCTTGAAATCATGATGTTTTCTACATTTCTGTATTGGCCCCTGCCCTGAGCTGAAATTTAATTCCAGGCCATGAACTCACTAGTGGAATAAGTGTTTTGATAAGGAAGGAAGTCAGCGAGAGATTTGGACACTCACTGGTTTCTTGGAGTACATCATGATAAACTAAAATTGTAAAAAACAGAAAAAAGGATCATTCCAAACTGAAAGCCACGACTACATACAAATCAGTCACACTAATAAACTCTATAAAGGTAAAGAAATGTGTAATAAACATGATCCAGAGACACTCTTTGTAAAACGATATCTCTAAGCCGTATACATACAGTGCTTAGGTTGTGTTTAGCCCACTTGGAAAACAGCTTTGTTCTTTTGAGGTGGTCTCCCAGGTTTCTTATATTGTGATGGATGTGTTTAGTCACTAAGTTAAATTTGTCTTGAGCCTTTGTCACACACACCCAGGATTATCTATTGCACCAGCCCCCATCGTTTTTCTTCACAGTCCACGTCACCTTTAGCCTCTCTGTCTTCTGCCTCTTTCAAACGCCGTCTCTCAGCGCGGAGCGAGAGGCCTTTGTATCACAGAGAGAGGACCATGTGGTTTCAATGATTCTCAAGCAGTGGTGTAGGAACCCAGGGATATGCACCTCCATCGAAAGGTCTGTGGCCTACAGGGGGCGACAATGGCTACTTACTTATAAATAAAGTTTACGTTCTTACTTACTTACAAGAGCATTGTTCTATGAGTCTGAAGGTTGTGGGTTCGATCCCATCGCGAGATCCTCTCCATCAACTTGGTTGTGTCCTTGGGCAAGACACTTAACCCACTTTGCATATAAGGAGTGCAGAAGTAATAGTAGAGCATGCCTGGATGTGTATTCATCAAACTGAAAAGGCCGACAGGACTCATCTACTAATCTGTAGATGATTTTTTATGGAGGGAAGGGGTTGGATTGGATCAGTATCGCTGACTATTAGAAATATTTAAACCATAAATACTTGTTTCTCAATTTGAGTACGTTATGAATGTCTTTAAACACTATTTATCAATGGCACAAGCAGTTTAGTCTTATTTTATGTATCCATTCTAAGGGAGACCTTTTTGCTTGTCCCATTGGTAAATCTTGTTTTAAGACAGTCCAAATGTTCTCCACTTATGGCTTTGTGTGACTTGTTTGCAGCGTGAGGCTAATTTGAAGTGAACAAAGTGGTTTTACCTTGAACCTGGACAATAAAGAACTTCACAAGAGGTAGACTAGACTCAAACCAAATCTAAATCAGGACAAAATTGGGCTGAAACGAGCAAACCAAACCAGCACAACTTTGAACATAGCCTCAGTTGTAGTCGTAGTAAATTTTTGGTTAGATGTCTTATCCAATTACAACCTAAAGAGGCAAATTTTTCGGAGGCGACACATGGCGTGAAAAGCCTCTGCATTACGAGTAGAGGTCACACAAGCACTGGGACAAAAAGGCCAAAGGAGCATCAGATTATCCCCTGGTTGTAGTCTGCAGACCATCTCCCTCATGCAAACTCACCTTTTAAGAAGCAAAATAAATACAAGGGGGTGATAAGCTTCAAGGCCCACCTACCACAGCTAACACAAGTTCTGGTCCCAGTGGAGGACCCTTTTAATCCCCGTGCTCGGGTAACCAGGGGATTTACCCAGCATGCATTGTCTGGTGGTGGAGAATGAGGGCACAGAACCAAGCCTATAGCCACAAACCTAAGCAGCGGAGATGCAGAGAAAGGAAACGCAGAGGGAGGATCAAAAGAACTGGGGAAAAAAGCTAGGATTAAAAAGCTTTTAACAAAACTAGTGAGAGTGAGAGAGAGGGGGGTTGGGAAGAAAGAGGGGCCTTTGGAGACGGAAGCCCCTGAGCGAACGCTGACTTTAAAGGAAATCAGAATATTATATTAAAATGGTTACGGGAGTTACTATCGTAGCACTGGGCATCGGAGTGAAGACCTCATGCTGTGAGCATCAGTCCAGTTTTATTTCAATTTTACTTTTATATTTAACTACCACTCACTACCCAGGTACTGCTCCTGCTATTACACACATGTTTTAGTCAATAATAAATGATAATTCTATCAATATGAGGGAATTATAGTAAAGTAGCCTCAGGACCATTCTTTAGCGTGGTTTTTATTCCCAGAAAATATAGCTTTTATTTGTATTATATTTGCATCAAAATAATAACATCCATGTTTTACACCTTGTCCCACAAAACAACAAACATGCACCATTTGAATTTAAATGATAAATATGTGTCTTGAAGCCTGGCTAACATTACATTTTTTTAATTTATTTTTTCACCAGCACAAATCTCGCAGCAGAACATAAATAGTCGTGAGCAAATCTCATAATCTCCACTTTGGGAGCAGAAACTAGGTCTATATAATTTCGAGGTGGGCCTTGTAGAATTGTTTACCCACAGATTACAGTCTATACCTGTATTTTTAGTGCAAATTATATCAACACGCGATACCCAGAAAAATGCAGGCTTTTCCTCCGGTGTCTGTGGAAACATTGTTCTCTTCCCATATTATTTCTACCACTACACAAACTGTAAAATGCTAGACCTCCCTTCTTCTTTATGTGTGTGGCTTCCTCATTCGGTCCTCGCTGTACAAAACTCAATGTACCGGAGATTGTTTATCACTTTCGGAGAATTACACGTCGCTCCAGCCTCCCTCAAGGACTCTGGGAGGGGACAGTCTCCGAGCACCACCGAGAACTGCCTCTGCATACTAACTATCGGACAACTTGCTTTCAAAGTCGGCTCCAAAGATGGATTTGGGTTTATGCGAGCAGACAAAGGCCATAGAATGTGAATAGATCCTCCAGGGGAACTTCTCATCACATTCTGTTTTTGTCTCTTCTAGCGCCGTCCGCAGTACCCACAGTTCACTTGATGGCGGCCACAGCGAGCACCATGAGCTTGTCCTGGTTGCCCCCAGAGAAACCCAATGGGATCATTCTGGACTATGAGATTAAGTACCATGAAAAGGTAAGCAGCGCTGTCTGTTTCATTCTGGTTCATTTCGTCTCGGTATTGTTTTATTTATGTTGTTGTGAGCTTTAGGGAACAAAGCCGCCGCTGATAAAACCAAAATTCCACACATTTTTCTTCTTGTGCTCTTGTGTGATCACATTCCCCTAATTAGCTTTTCCGCTATCCTATCTTCCTTAGCTGTTTTATGTTTTCTTTATGCATTGTCCATTGATAATGCTTCCTTTGTTTCTTCTTCTTATCCTCACTGCGGCTCAGTCCAAGCTTTAGGAAGTTTCTTACTGCAGACGAGAGCACATTCATAGGAAACTAGAGCTTTCTTTGTACCAACATTATCTGTGTTTTCAGATACTTGCCTGAGACATAATAGTTTCTCTATGTCATTTCATCACCCAGAGCTGTCTATGGTGTTCCTTTTTAGGCATCAAAACACAAGCATAAGTCTTGCTTCTTCTTCGTGGTAAAGTTGGGGATTTTAGACTGCTTCTTTTTATGCTAAAGTTGGACATTTTAGTACAGAGTTATTATTCATTTATCTTGTGCTGTTTGCTCCTCGTTCCTACTGTTCTGTAACTTGTGAGGCATCACTGACATTTACTAACTATGTGATGAATAAAGGATCTGCTCATCTTAATGTGATGCAGTTACATTAATATTAGTAATGTACTCGAGTAGCCGCGTAGCTTTATCTGGGTGGATGATAGACACGCTATTTGGTCTCAGGCTTAAATACGGCCATAGATTCAGATTACACTTACAGAAAATACATAATTTATGGAGATGTGAAGCCACCATCTTCTTGTTTGGTGTTTCACATCTTGGTGGTTTCTAATCATATTTGGCCAAATCCTTTCATCTTAAAGGTTTAGGAGAATTTTCCCAAATTTTAGGAACCACCCTCTCCACTTTTTGAACAAAACTCTCTGGTCTTATTGGACGTATCACCAGAATGATTGACAATTGGGAGGACCAATAGTCTTGATGATCCACCTGGAAGTAAAACATCCTCCTATACTTTAAAGTAAACATGAGACTTGGGATTGAAATATAAACGTTCCCTGAAAACAAATACACATAAAGCCCTTTCTCATACTTCCAGAACAATAACAGTTTAATGCAAACACTTTATCTATTGTGCCATCATGAAACGGCCGCAGTTCCATCTTCTTCACACATGTTATTTGTTTTCCTAGGACCAAGGAGAGGCTATAGCTCACACTATGACTGCACAAAGAAGCAACGCTCGCATCGAAGGCCTGAAAGCCGGGACTCCGTACGTGGTCCAAGTCCGAGCTCGGACTGTGGCAGGCTACGGTCGGTACAGCAGCCCGGCCGACTTCAGCACCAACCTCCAGAGTATGCATAATTTACACTTGGATATTTGGGATTTGCAAAGAAGCACTTTTCTTGCCTTTAATCATGAAACAGCCTGATCCCCGGGAAAGGACTTAAAAATATTCAGATGTGGTTTAGTTTGGCTCATTATCTGTATTCATTACTCTGCATTTTGTTACAAGTGCATTATTTAAGAAGATATCTAGGAATGAATTTAAAAGTACATGGGGCTCACTAATGATGTGTATGATCCTGTGGAGGTGTCAGTAGGAGAGGTAGAGTGTAAAGCATATGCACCTTTTTAAACCATTCAAAACAGGATTATTATATTAAAAAAGTGTGTTTTTCTGTTTTCAGCTGATCCGCCCAAGACTTGGCAAGAACTGTGGCCACTCATAGTTGGATCCATCACTGCTACCTTCGTCTTTATTATTGCTGTGGTGGTCATTGCCATCGTCTGCCTCAGGTTAGAAACACATCATTACATCAGGATTTATAAATAATGATTATCTTAAGAGCCGTGCAAACAGAAATATTGGCAAAATTATCTGCTTTAAGCTTGGATATCTTTCTCATACAAAAATAAAAATCCCAACAGAGAAAACCCTGTAAAATAAACTGTTGAAAACCAATCACATCACGTCCCTTATTGTTTTTTAAGAAAACATTTGAACATTTGCAAACTATGGAATTAACTAAACTGTTATGAAGCTCGGAACTCGTAAAATATATTAGCATTTTTTTTGGTTTGAAGGTTAGTAAGAGATGACACTGAGCTGATTGGCTAAAGGGGGGGGGGGTTTCTCTCTGCTCACTTTTCTATATAAAACAATCTGATCTAAAGACGTGACAACAACTACACGTATCTGAAAAAGTTAATTCTTTTGTGGTTTGAAAATCAGATGCCTTAGCTTTAACCATCGTCCTCTCGCCTTGTCCTTTGAGAAGCCTGTGAATCTCAGATTAGCTCGAAGAATTTGTGAACTGCTGTCATCCTTTGCCAATAATATGTGTCCATCGCTGTGCGGAGGATCCGAGGAGCAGCAGATGTTGGGGCTGATGGTCTCATAATCTACTGTTTTCAAACCACAAAGAGTCCAGATGCTCCCTGTCCTTGCTGCTGCCCTCCCAAAATAACTCTAAAATGGACATCAGCTAATAACAAGTTCTTTCCTTCGTTGCTGCGAATACAATAGTGTGCTCTGGGTCCTGGTCAGACAGTGGCTGAATAACAAGTCCTTCCTTACATTTCTTAATATCTCTCCCGGTCTCAGCATACAGCATACAGCATATTCAGTACTGCCATAAACGGAACAGCAATATTAATACAAAACACAGAATCGGCATAATTTTTTTAACGGAAATTACAATTTGAAATGAGATGCAAATGCACCATGGGGTATTATCGCCCTGGATAGTGGTTAGACAACAAAGGCAGCGCATTAACATGTCATTTCTACAACCCGCCTCCGCATCATTGTTGCCGCTGCACTCTCGCCCCGATCATGAGCAAGAATGAAAAATGAGTTTTATTAATCTATTTAACTGAATCAACTCTGTGTTGAGACGATGGAAACTGCTTATACTGCGGTTTGTGAAGTTTTATGGCTCAAAATGGATTTTACTTATGGCCCAAAACCGATGTTTAACGTAGTAACTTGGCCAATGCGTTTTCTTTTTGTTATTAATATTCATGTATTTCTTCAGTTTTCCTCATAGACCGTATATATTAACGAATGTAGTCACGTCTATCTCCGCCGTTCTAACTAATGGGCCATAAATTGGGCTTTCATGGATTGATTCAAAATGGCCGCGGGGGCCATGTGAAAATGTGAAAAAACGCATCTGCGCATGCATCTGCCGGCACGAGCCCCATTCATTTAAACAAGTAACTTTCACAGTTACTAAACTAGAGTGGTCCAAAAAAATTCAGCATTGACACATGTTGAACGGAGCTTTGGGCCAAGAGCCAACTTTTGGACCATCCTGTATAGACGTTTTCAAGAGGTCAGCTAATGCTATATGTTAGCATTGGCTAATTCTTATTCTGGGTCCACCCCCATCGGCCCGGGGTGCAAGCATGTCAGCGCACGTCATTTTGGCCACTTTTGAGCCGGGACCTGCCCCCACTGGTTTTCCTTCAGCTTCATGCTGTCGCTGTCTCCGCCTCTTTTCAAACGTCCAATGAGATTCTTTAAATGATTTTCTGTCAAATTTTCACCACACGACTGCCGCCATCTTGATTCTTCTACTGAGGAAATTGTACAGACGCACTCTACTGGTGTAGCCCTCTACTGACTGTCTGTTTACACGCACCATTGGCCAAAGTCATTTTTATTGGTTAACAGCAAAAATCAGATACCAATACATCGGTGCTTCTCTAGTTTTACTTCAATACCGAAGCACCACAGATTGAGCCTTTTCTTAGTTGTGCTGCTCATCTGTGGCTGAACTGTGCCTTGTCTCATTATTTTGCACCAAACTGTGTTGATTTTAATTCACTGGTTCTGTTTCCAAACCCACAGGAAGCAGAGGAACGGCTCCGAGTCCGAGTACACGGAGAAACTGCAGCAATACAGTGAGTCCCTGAGCTGAAAAGTGTTTTTGTAGCAGATCTATGCAACTGTGTGTGTTTTCTACTAATTATACAATAATCACAGCAATGTAACGAGGTGGAAGATAAGACATTCTAATCCAATCTAATCTTCAATTATATTTATCAAAATAATCCAAATCCACCCAAACTTATGAAGGCTCTGGCAAATACAACCCTGCTTTTATTTTAATATGAGTTACACTCCCTGGCAATTAACAGGGTTTTATTTTATATATATATATATATATATATATATATATATATATATATATATATATATATATATATATATATATATATATATATATAAAATAAAACCCTGTTTTTTATAATAACGGTTTTTTTTCATAGTTAGTTCATTGTGTGAAGCTATTTGTCAAATAAATATGTTTCCTATTTTCTAATTATAATGACAAATGAAAGTACTATAATAGTAGTTGATATTCTTTGGCCATAATGTACATCAGATCTCAAGTCACATGTTTTCAAAGATCGTACATACATATTACAATAAGATAAACTAAAATGTGTCCGTTAAGAATTTTAGTGCTAAATGCTGCAATGTTAAAAATGACTTAACATTTTTGAGGGTTTTTGTGGTGGTTGCAAAAGAGAATTTTTAATGTTAACGCTTAACTAAGTCATAATTTAAAACTAGAAAACTTGTTTATTAGACTGAGGCTATAAACATTGGCTTTATTCAAGGTTAAGGTAAGATCCTTCATTCGTCCCACAGTGAGGACATTTCAGTTGTTATTATAGATCTCAGAAAAACAGCTAAAACATCGGCCTCTCTGCCAGGGCGTGTAAACTTTCGAGCCTGTGTATAAAGCTGAGATCACAGCTTCCACCTCGGACACTGCGTGACTGTGGCTAACGTCGCTTCTGTTAACTGAGCTGTATATCTGGTGTTAGATCATCAACTTTTGTCTGGCCGCATCGATTCACTTTCCCCAATTCTCGCTACTGAATCCCCCATAGTAACGCCGGGCATGAAAGTCTACATTGACCCGTTCACCTATGAGGACCCCAATGAGGCGGTGCGCGAGTTCGCAAAGGAGATCGATGTTTCCTGCGTGAAGATCGAGGAGGTCATCGGCGCAGGTAACCCACCCAAGCTCCTGAGCTACAGGGGAAAGGCTGCTAGTCACCTCCAGGCCATTCCGTTACAGGACTTCACACCAAGCGGTACTTTGATTCAATTCATCGCTAGCTCATCTCGCCCCCTTCCTCCTATACCTTCACCTGTCACCTGCTATAAACCCCCCTGAATAGACACTGTCATGTGGTTAGTGTGCTAGATGGGTAGTTTTGAGTCAAATCCCAATTGTAGAATCCCTCTGATAGTTCTCTTCCTCATGTGTAGAACACTCCCTGGGACAGAGTTCAAACCTGGAAATATAATATAGTGTTTCATTCAAATCAACCATGACCAGCATTTACAGCTTTAGTTAAATTGATATCTGGATATTTAACTAAAAAGTACAATCCATTTTATACTGATGGACTAAGTTTCAGATTCTTGTTTCATGCCGTTGTTTGAGGTTTCTTAATCCAATGTTAACGCCTCATTTCCTTAAGAATCTGAGCTATACTGTAAAGGGCTCATATCTGTATAGCACATGGTTGTCTTTAAACATATGATAATAGAATGGACGCTGTTCCAGGATTGACCGACTCTGTCCTCACTCACAAAGTAGTCAAAAACATGAGAACACTTTTCTGTTGTGCATAATGTTGTCCCTGTCAGTTACTTTGATGTAGTCATTGATTTATATTTTTTATTCGCTCCTGTTTTACCAACGATATAAACGTTCTGCTAAAACCTCTGCTAATAAACTGCAGGAATGTTAGTTATATCTGAGGCTGTTGTGAAGGCAGAGATGGGAGAGCTCTACTGCTACTACTTCTGCTACTGCCAATGCTACTTCTGCTTCTACTGCGACAAGCTACTGCCTTCTTCGTATCCCAGCATTCGCCTTAAAAAGTGACAAGTCCTCAACCCCTTTCCTCCCCCCTCCTCCCTCTGCTCCGCCCCCTGCCAATCCATCAATCCATCATTATCACCTGATTATAACTTTTACACATTTTTGCTCATGCTTGGTTGTAGAATCTAGACGCAAACTGTCCTCCTCAACTCCCAGAGCGCCTAAGCTGCTTTCTCCACCTCTGTCCTCCTCATGCGCTCGCTACACGGGCCACTCTGAGCTATAAACCCATTCGCCATTCCCCTCCCAACCTTTCCTTGCAGAGACATTTTTTATATACCACGCTTTTGCCACTAAACACTCCCACCTGCCGTCATTACGCTTCATTGCCAGTGGTTTGATTTGATTTAGGCTAACAGCACCCACATCATGTCTGTCCCATTCTAGCACCAGTCCTATGTTGACAGTGGCCTATAGGCTTTATGTGCAGTCCTTCCTCTATACCCCCTTTGAAAGCCACCGCACCTTCTGTCAGTCCCTCCCTTGCTCCTTGGTTCTAACCAGATAACTCTCCCCTTTCTCCCCCCACGCTCCTCCACTTTGACCCAATCATGGCCCAATCTCCCCCCTCCCTCTGTCGGTCTGTCCACGGCTGCTCTGCCTGTCCCCACATGGGCTGTATCACAGGGGAGTTTGGAGAAGTGTGTCGCGGTCGCCTCAAGCTGCCGGGCCGCAGAGAAATCATCGTAGCCATCAAGACGCTCAAAGTAGGCTACACCGACCGACAGAGAAGAGACTTCCTGTCCGAGGCCTCCATCATGGGACAGTTTGACCACCCCAACATAATCCGCCTGGAGGGGGTGGTGACCAAGAGCAGGCCTGTCATGATCGTCACAGAGTTTATGGAGAATGGAGCACTCGACTCCTTCTTGAGGGTAAGTTTGTGGTGTTTATGTTTAAAATATAAGAAAGCTAATGGCAGATTGTGTTTAGCTTTTAGTTATATCATTTTGTTTTCATTTAGTTTCAGGCAACAGGCAACTCTTGGGAATTTGGCCGAACGTCTCCATGTTTTTAGCCTCTTATCAAAAGAATGAATGGAAGTATTAGGGAAATGTGTACATGAAGATTAATAATTAAGATTAATTAAGAGATCCTTTATTGGTCCCACAGCGGGGAAATATCAGTGTTGCATTGTCAGGTACAGACAGTAGGAATGAGGAGCACACAGCACAAGAGAATGAGCAATAACTCTGTACTAAAATACAATCTCTAACTCTAGAATAAAAAGAAGTAGTATAAAATCCCAAGCTTTAGCGAGATGAAGAAGAAAGTATTAAGTACAAATCATTGCAATCTGATTTTACTGGACTGTAAAAAGCCCCCACTGAATAATCAAGGCTCCTGTGGACTCACCACCTGCAGGAGGATCAGCGAGGGGCTGGTGCTGTGTGGGCTGGGTGCAGCTCTGACTGCCAACCCCCCCCGACCCAGAAATGGATTAAGGGGAAACAAATGGATGGATGGATGGATGTAAAAAGCCCCTCCATGATCCACACATATCACATCAGAACTGGCACAGACTGGTTGCCTCGCTTCTGTCAGTGTGCCCCAGGGCAGCTGTGGCCACAGTAGTAGTTTATCACCAGTGTGTTTGGAGAGAAAAATGATATGCAGAGACTTTGAATGTCCTGAAAAGCTCAAACTGATTCATTATTATTATTATTATTATTATTATTATTATTGTTATTATCATGAGGATGTCTCTCAATCTGGACTTAAAAGATGAAATAAGCTCGATAATGAGAGTTGGAGTAACACGACAAGGCCACAGCTCACAAAGAGTCCAGTCATTTCTCAAACTAGAATTTTCTCGGTTTTGTTTCTGTGTTTTGGGGACAGTAAGAGAAGTTTGAAGCTGTACCTTTGTTGACCTTTGTGTACCTTTGTGTGTGTTGCAGCTGAACGACGGTCAGTTCACGGTGATCCAGTTGGTGGGAATGCTGCGGGGCATCGCGGCAGGAATGAAGTATCTCTCAGACATGAACTACGTGCACCGAGACCTGGCGGCGAGGAACATCCTGGTCAACAGTAACCTGGTCTGCAAGGTCTCAGACTTCGGCCTCTCACGATTCCTGGAGGACGACCCCACGGACCCCACCTACACTAGCTCACTGGTACTTACTGCTACTGCTACTACTACTACTGCTACTGTTACAAGCTACTGTTGTTGATATACTACTACTGCTATTACTACGATTATTAATACTGCTGCTATAGCTGCTTCTGCTGCTACTGCTACTGCTACTGCTGCTACTTCTGCTGCTTCTGCTACTGCTGCTGCTGCTACTACTGCTACTATTACTACTACTGCTACTGCTGCTACTATTACTACTACTACTAATGCTGCTTCTGCTATGACTGCTACTGCTGCTACTATTACTACTACTGCTACTACTGCTACTACTGCTACTGCTGCTACTACTACTGCTGCTACCACTACTATTACTCTTACCACCACTACAATTATGCAAACTTTAACTTGTTTTCTAATAAGTCAGAATTTTCGATTCTTAAAGTTTGGTGTCCCAGCTTCACAAAACACCTCAAATTAAAACAATAATAACAATAATAATGCAGACGCTTCAAAATACATGATGCAATAACTTTCCACCTCATATTTCCACTTCTACACGTACAGACAGTCGGCTTTATTATCAGAAACAACCCTAACGTGATGCTATACCCAGCGCCTGCTGAAGCCCATGCACTTGTCCATAAGCTCATACCATGTTTTGTACTAACCTTGTGAGTGAACCCTTGTGTTTGCCTTGACTCACTCTCTCCCTCTCGTGTGTGTATGTGATCTGTGTCCGTGCTCCATCCCTCCAGTATTTCATGCTCACCTACTCATTCGCATATCCACAGGGAGGCAAGATCCCCATCCGCTGGACGGCCCCGGAGGCCATTGCCTACAGGAAGTTCACCTCGGCCAGCGACGTCTGGAGCTACGGCATCGTCATGTGGGAAGTCATGTCCTACGGCGAGCGGCCATATTGGGACATGAGCAATCAGGACGTGAGTGTGGGGCGATCTAGGCAGGAGATTAAACTGCACATGGAGGTTGTTAAAGGTTTATAGGAGGATTTTTCCAAATGTTAGGAAGGAACCGCCCTGTCCACTTTTTGAACAAAACTCTGGTCTTATTGGACATATCACCAGAATGATTGACAATTGGAAAGACCAATAGTCTTAATGATCCACCAGGAAGTAGAAAATTCTCCTTACCTTTAACAGCTCCATCCTTTGATAAATATTATTATTAGAATTAGAATTAGCATCAATTATGAGTTGTTATTTGTACAGTAATATGAACAGATGTGAGCAATGGCGAGTTGAATAAGTCAAGTCTTTGGATAATGAATCAGTCTAATTGCCTTATGCTTCTTGTATTTATTAGAATATCTATCGCATGCCTCCAAATCCTCCCAGGCTTAATGACATTAGGGAACACTCCAGACATATCATTTTCTAACATAACAGTACAAGATCCCATCCATCCATCCATCCATTTTCTTCCCCTTATTCCATTTATGAGTCGGGGGGTGACAGAGCTGCACCCAGTACACAGAGCACCAGCCCCTCACTGATCCTCCTGCAGGTGCTGAGTCCACAGGAGTCTTGCGCCTTGATTAATCAGCAGGGGCTTCAGGCAAATTGGGGTTAAGTGTCTTGCCTAAGGACACAACGACAGCAGACATCAGTGGGAGTCGTGAAGTAGGTCTTGTGGTGGGCTCGAACCCACGACCTTCAGGCTCAAAGTCCAATGCTCTGCCAACTGAGCCACTGTCGCCCATTACAAGATCCCACAGTGGGGAAATTCCAGTGTCTGTGCACTTCTCATTCCTACTGTTCTTTAACATGCAATACAACACTGGAATTTCCCCTCTGTGGGATCTTGTAATGTCATGTTAGAGATGGATTTGTCTGGAGTGTTCCACATATGAAATCCAAGTTTCAGTGATTTTATTATGTTTTTATTATTCTAATTTATTTCTCTGTTCTAGCTTATATTTGAGTTGATTTTAAGCAAGATATTTTGCAATTCTTTGTTTTTGTAAACTGAAAAAACTAATATGGTAAAAAAAAGTATACATTCAGAAAAATAAAATATCTATTTAAAAAGGATGTTTAATAAAAAGATAATTAGTTGATGTCGTACAAAGAATCAACACATTTTGTGGTAGAATTGATTTCTCATCTTGACTTAAGGCTGTTTTATTTGACATCTAACTATTGCACCTCAGAGTCTGAGAGCAGCGACTTCACGTCGAGCTCAGATTTGCAGTTGAGAAAGTTGACTCACTTTCTCACTTACTTTGCTCGACTTCTGGCTCCGCACAGTCTTGTCCTTGTCCGCACTATTTCTAGCCCAGCAAATTGATTGCGATCGCTGTCCTCCCTCCCAGGTGATAAATGCAGTGGAGCAGGACTATCGACTGCCCCCTCCCATGGACTGTCCCACGGCTCTGCACCAGCTCATGTTGGACTGCTGGGTCAAAGAGAGAAACCTGCGGCCCAAGTTCACGCAGATCGTGGCCACGTTGGACAAACTCATTCGCAACGCGGCCAGCCTCAAAGTGGTCACCAACAGCACACAATCCACAGGGTGAGTTGGAGATTAGTATTTATTATTATTAAGGACGATAAAGACGGAAATTTAAGCATAAAAAACACAGCAAGGACCAAAGGGACAAAGACACACAATCCATAGGGTGAGTTAGAGATTAGTATTTATTATTATTAAGGATGGTAAAGATGGAAATATAAGCATAACAAAAATATATTTGACAACAAAACAGACAAAACAAAGGAGAAAAAATCGGAATCAATAAGAATTTATTTCTCACGATAAAGAATTTTATCACATCTTGATGGTGCTTTTCTTTTTACATTTCAACTGACAGAGATTCTTTCTCGACATAGAGAATAAAGCTTGCAGTATTTAAAGGTTAGCACTCTCGCTTCTCAGCAAGAATGTCCTGGGTTTGAATCCCGGTCGGAACAGGACCTTTCTGAGTGGAGTTTGCATGTTCTCCCTGCGTCTGCATAGGTTCAGTAGTTCAGGGGGAATTAGTGTTTGTGAGAGCGACTGTGGCTCAATCTGAGAGGTGTTTTTAACATGTGCCAAACAAATAAACTTAAACTTATCCCTCTTCCTCTTGAATCATGTCTGTATGAAGTGTTTGGTGCAGACTGAGGCAGAGGCAGTGACCTACCTACCCACCGTGCCATCAGGGCCTTTGTGTCTCTGGGGCAGGCTCCAGATAATCCTGGCACAGGTTCAAGAGGGACGCCGGGGTCTCGGTTGGCCGCCGGAGTGACGTTCTTGGAAGATTAAGCGAGCAGTTAATTAGTTCGATTAAAGCGATACAAAAAAGAGACGGTGGCGGCTTTTAATTAGCCTCTAACAAGATTTGAAGCAGAGAGACGCCTCCTGCTGAAAAGGCTGCTCTGAGGTGTGGACGCTCCAGATGGATTCACTTTGGTGTTTGTAGATTTCTATGTGACGTTTAAGCTTGTTGCATTTAGCCCTGAGCGAGACGACACAGCAGATACATGGGTTTCTATTGTGTATTTGTAATATGAATTCAAAACGCTGGGATACCTAACTCTCAAACCATAACTATTATTTTATAACTAGTTCCTCGCTCTCAAAACTGTTTTCCTTTATCACTAGTTTTCATATAGAGAACATATTTTTTTTGGTCACATTTTTAGATCAGCTTTTAGTTAAAAAGAGAGGGCTCAGCCAATCAGCTCTCAGCCATACCAACAGACATAGTGACACCTATTTCCCCCGTTGAAATGTATGTGTAACCAACATGCACACATTTAAAATGGCCACAGCCCCTCCCTCAATAAAAACGCCTAAGAATTCATTGGATAATTCGGTTTCCTGTACACCCCCACCGGCAAGGAGTCAGATTACAGCGCACGTGCTCATGGACCCTTTTGAGCTGAGACCCGCTCCCCCTGGACTGGACTCATTTGAGGAAATGGGTGGAGTCTGATGTGCTCCTGCACGGTTGGAATAAAGACCTGCAGCCTCTCAGCCCATTGAGGGCCTGGTTAAATACCCCTGTTCTAAAGTCTATAGACCTGTGTATTGTGAGTATTAGTGCTCCACTAACGGCTGCTGTGGTGCTCGGGGCTCACATGTGGCCAGCAACTGTCTGAGCTCTTTTGAAGTCGGCTTTTCAGAAAACTGCAGAACAATGCTCCATTAAGAGAAGCCAGAGTTGTGCGTTAACAACAGCCCGAGGCGAGGGTCTCCCAGAGAAGCCTTATTAAAAATCACTCCATCTGCACCACTCAATGGAGCCTCTGTATCAGTCTTATTAAACTACAGCCTCCTTCTTTCTAAGGGTATTTCTCCTTAAATTGTTAATGAACCTAATGCCATCAAAAAGGATGACAGGATCAGCAGAGCGGAGCTGAGGGACAGTGCGGGTCTTTCTCCTTGCGGGTCCAGGAGACACCTCGGGGTCACATGCCGCTGTCGTTCGCCCACTCTGTTTTGCTCCATAGCGTGCAGCCCAGACATATTAAAACTTGCACGGTGGCCTCACTATCGGATCAAAGCAGGTTTTATGGAAAGGTCTTTAAGGCTCGTCCACAGGTGTGCCACAAATACAAACATGTTCAACTGTAGTGAGAGTGGAGTGTGCGGTTGGATACACACCTATAGTGGGTTATAGAGTGTGCGGTTAGATACACACCTATAGTGGGTTATGAAGTTAGATACACACCTATAGTGGGTTATGGAGTGTGCGGTTAGATACACACCTATAGTGGGTTATGGAGTGTGCAGTTAGATACACACCTATAGTGGGTTATGGGGTTAGATACACACCTATAGTGGGTTATGGAGTGTGCGGTTAGATACACACCTATAGTGGGTTATGGAGTTAGATACACACCTATAGTGGGTTATGGAGTGTGCGGTTAGATACACACCTATAGTGGGTTGTGGGTTATGGAGTTAGATACACACGTTAGCATCACATTCAACACAGCGCAACGTCCAAACACTTGACCATTTGCTGCTGTCATTCTCTGGCAGAGGAGTGAACATTCCACTCACACAGACACATAAGGCAGCCACACACACACACACACACACACACAGACATAAGGTAGCCGCACGCATACACACACACACACACACACACACACATAAGGCAGCCACACACACACAGACGCACACAGCCACACACCGGCATCTGTGTTTACATTGCACAGACATTTTCACATTTTGATGAGAATGTGTTGCATAAATCATTTTGTCCGATGGATTCCATTCCTGCTCCAGAATTCTATTTCAGTCGGAGTCAGAGCAGCGATGAAAGAAGCAGTTTTTGAAAGAAATGTTGCGAGTAAATTCATGAAGACTGAAAGTCCGTTCCACTGGCCAAGAACATGCTTGTTTTTATTAATATTGTCATTCGTTCTAGACACATTTCTGAGAAAATAGACAATAGTTGATGTGCGACACAGAAGATGTGGACCTTTGTGACATTTTGGTTCCATGAGGCTTAACCCAGAAATGAGAAATAAGCTTTAAACTATGACTACAAATCTGGATCTGACTGACAGTTACCATAGTTACCATAGTTACCCGAGTTTTCAGCTGCTCACCGCCACAATCAAACTATAAACTACAGACACAAACCTGGAATCTTTGCATTTCAATGATTACATGTCAAGCATTGAATGTGTAAAAATGTCCATCTGTATGATCTGAATGAAAATATCCGAGCCAAGCCTCCAGCCAGTCCCCACAGAGACCCCGGCCCTGCCCCGCCCTGCCCCGCCCTGCCCCCTGCACACAGCTCCTTACCTGGGACACGAGAGGAGGAGAGGGGGAGAGGTGGCGGGCCGCTGGGGCGTTGGGGTGCGAGCTTGGCCTGGCACAGACACAAGACCCTAACCCTCTCTCTTTCTCTCCCCCTCCCCTCCTTATTAATTGTAGGGTCTCTCAGCCCTTGCTTGACCGCTGTGTGCCTGACTATACCACTTTCACCACTGTGGGGGACTGGCTGGACGCCATCAAGATGAGTCGCTACCGTGACAACTTTGTCAACGCCGGATTCGCGTCGTTCGACCTGGTGGCCCAGATGACGGCAGAGTGAGTCTGAGAGAGAGAGAGAGAGAGAGAGAGAGAGATGGGCGCCAGATCATCAGGCCCCGAGTCATGGAGTCAAATTAGACTTATGTAGATTGACCTTGTGGGAATCAGAAATTTGTTCGCTAAATTAAAAAAGATGGTGACATTTTAATATGCAGGGAATATAGCCAAGGGTTAGCAGATTGTGCATTTATAAATAATATTTATATGTATATAATGTATTTAAAAATATGTATAAAAGACAGAACATTATAAACAGGAAACAAAAGCTTTAAACTGTAATAGTTAGGTTTTTTATTTCTAAAACCTCATAATCACACAAACACACTCCAAACTCTCTGACCCGACACCTCCCCATGTAACTTGTTTTGAAGTGCTCGGTCGCTAAATTAGAATGGAGCTGCTTTGTTGACATTAAATATAAGAGAAACACATTTCGTTTCACCAACAAAACAACACGGCTTCTGCTTTGCCATATTTCTGTGTAATTAAAAGCTTTTACTCAGTAATTACAATAACAGATTTTTCATCCAGGGGAGGCTGTAAAAAATAATGTAATTCCGTCAGAATAACAAGAGAGAGAGATGTAGCATGCTACTTGCTACATTTCCTGTACAATGGACAAAGTTAATGCAATAAGGATGAGGCTAATATCACCTGCTGCACACGCTAACAAGCTAACAGGCTGACAACCCTCATCACGGTGTCCTTCGCCGTGGCCTCGACCTTGGTGCTTCCTGCGTGTTTACAAACAGGAAATGATGTAATGGAATCTTTAGGCTAAATTGGTGATTTAGCCGGTGATGATCAAATGAATGAATCAGGACGATAATGATAAATAAATCTTCCTCATTAGTTCCATAATCGGCGGCGGAGGCGGGGGCCATTTGTTTCAATTTGCAGAGTGTGACAGGTGTGTGCTGTGGCTCTCACTGCCCTTAATGCTCACTAACTCCTCTAATAGTCCCATTTATTATCATCTCATCCTCCGCCACTGCGCTGATGGGGACGCTTAAAACAGTAGCTGTTTTTATATTGCCGGCTTTGGAGAGGGTGAAAATAAGTGAATCTTAGTGAATATACTGTATGTGAACCTAATGAATGAACAACACTGACTGGAACCTGGCCACAGTGACAGATCCACCCGGAAGTCTGTGTGGTCATGGGAAATATTAGATTAGATTGTGTGTGTGTGTGTGTGTGCTTGTTTCTGTGTGTGTGTGGACCGAGAACCAACATGAGTTAATCGGGGCCTAGACGCCAGATGCTTTTGTCGTATCATCTGAGGAAATCAAACAATGGAAAAGCACGTGTTAAACAAAGCCTTGATGATTAGATTGTGCGTCTGTCTAATGACTCTCCGCACATGAGCCCTTCTCCCGAGGCTCGTGGCCCTCCTACTCACAGTATCTCAATGTAGCCATACAATATACAACTGCTCTATACCTAATTTTGGAAATATATATTTTAGACTCTACACGGATGATACTTATTCATTGTGAAAAAATATATTTTAGAATTCACAGATTAAAGTTTGGTACCTCACATTTGGTCCTCACACAAAACCGATGTTTGTCCAGACAGAAGAACAGCAAACTCAAAGTGTCACAGACAGAAAATATGTTTTATTGTTCACTGCTTAAAGATTCACAGAATGCAATATTATAGCACAGAGGAGACGTCCAATCAGCATTAGCCACGGTGCTGGCAGCTTCAGAGAAACCAAAACCAAAACTCTGTCTTGTGCATTGTTGGAATGATGAGTTTAATTTTAGTAACTTCTGCGTCTCGCTTCTGTCATCACCGTATGTGGAAGGATTGGAAAAATATCTGAACTGTGAACATTGTAAAACGCTTTGGGTGACCTTTGTCTGTAAAATGCGCTATATAAATAAACATTACTTACTTTAACCACAGTTGCTTCAAAGTGTCATGTCAAATCTCCAAATGACTTGAAAGAACCTGTGAGACACAGGCCTGAGTGCGGGAGGTTGTGTCTTTATCACCTCTGTTGAAGAGCAGTGATATAAAGAAGTGACAGAGACTAAAAATAAAACCTACAGTGACAGAAAGGAATGATATGATTCAATGTTATGTGGTTTGAAAGTTAGGTCCCCCAGCTTTAAGCAACAGGGATCCTCCTCTAAGAGCCATGTTCTGTAAGACAGAAGCAAATGTCTGTTAATGTTTCCCAGTGACATTATGGCTCCATCTGCTTAGCAACGATGATCCGGTGTGTCCCTGGGATCCTCTGTTGACTTGATGTTTATGGCCCATGTTTGTGAGCTCTGTTTGTTCAGAGGTGACAGTGAGATGAACCTGTGCACTTCTGTTATCACTAACCTCTTCTCTCTTGTCTCTCAGGGACTTGTTGCGGATAGGAGTGACGCTAGCCGGACACCAGAAGAAGATTCTTGGTAGCATTCAGGACATGAGATTACAGATGAACCAAACACTTCCTGTACAAGTGTGAGCAGCTCTGGGTCAGACTGATACTGAGGACTGGCAGACTCCAGGGGCTGCGAGCCTAAACCCTGCTGCTTCACCTCCTCCACAATTAGACTCACAGGCTGCAGTGCCTCCAACTAGTCTCTTCTCCTTCGCAACTTCCGCTTTTTTGATTCTCTGCACCATTTTTTTCTCATCCGACTGTTTTGATTTGGAGAAGGCCTCTGCCTCACGGTGGACTCAGAGTGTGATGGATCTGCATGTCTGCTCTCGTTCTGTCTGCGACGGCTCTGAACTCTTCCTGCTCTTTGAAAATAACATAAACATCGACTCAAAGGAGAAGAAACTGACCCTGACCAGGTTGAAACTACAGCTCTCCTCCCAGATGCACGTGTGTTATTCTCCATCTTCATATTGAAGGTGTGTTATCCAGAAGGGCTCCTGCTGAGGACGAGGACGATGTTTCCACTCCATCTCACCCTCTGCATCATGTTTTAATTGGATTCATCCGTTCATCATGTCCTCTGTGTTCTACTCCTTCTCATTTGTCCACATTTTAGTATTTGCTTTTTCACCTCTGGGAGATAAAAGACTTCAAACTGACCGTGTGGCGCCCTGCTGGACACTTGACTGTATCACAGTGACCGACCACTTGGCCTTTGTGTGTGTTTTGTACCCGGTGTGCACATGTGTGTGTGTGTGTGTGTGTGAATGAGTGAGTGCGTGGTTTGGAAATGTGTTGCACACTATTATACTGTACAATAAAAGCTTCCGCTGTTTGCTGATGTGGAGAGTTACGCATGAACTGAACCGTGACATGGAGCTAAAATGATGCTATATTCTGTGGACAGCTGTTAAACTGTTTTTTATTGAAATTGAAAAAAGAACTTTGGACTTCCACACATATATAATAATTATATGTATGCATAATATGGAGAGAAACCATGACAGACACCTTACTTTCTACTTCATATTTCCTGGATTTAGAATAATCAAACTTTAATTTCCTGCCCTATGTATTTATTTGTACCTCTCCTTCTTCCCCTGCACCTAAACCCGGTGAACCTTTGCTCATTTGGGACTGGAACAATCAGAAATGAGAGCAATTTCAAGAGGATTCTCATTAAAGTAAAGAAATGACATATAAATTGGATATTGTATTTTTGTTGTTGTTCTAAACAGCCTGTAAATGTTTTGTAACAAAAATATGATGAATAACAAATGAAATTCTGTGTTTTGACAAAGAGGTGTCGTGAAGTGTTTGGGGATGGGTGGAATTATCACAATCTTTGAAACAAATATCACTTTTAAATTTACAGAGTTCCAATATTTTTGATCTGAAGTTTACAGTAGATTTATGTAATAACAAAGATATTATTGTAAGACTTTCCTCTGATGCAGAGGCCGGAAATGAGACACATGTCAAGAGAAGGTACGACTTTTCAGAGTAACTGGAAAAGAAAAGAAAGAAAATACATGACATTTTGTGTAATCTCTGGGTATTTTTAATCACAAACTGCTCACCCTTACAGGAGTAAATGATTTCATTATCATCAATGTTCACCAGAAATAAAAAAAAAATCTGCAAAAACTTGAAAACATGTGGGAACAAGAGGCCAACATTAATCCAACCTTTAATATTAGAAGAAAAAACTGAGGTCAGGATCTTGTGAACCTGAAAACTTCCACAGCTGCAAATACATAAAACATCATATGTTCACATCCCTTCATACAGTGATAGAAGCCTGTGAACGAGGCCGACAACAGCGATCGCTCCATCAGAGACTAATCAGCTTCTCTCAAACACATGTCAGACATTCATCACTGTCTCCTGCCCGTAACATTTCCCATAATTCCTCACAGCGGCTCGTTTCAACATACCACAGCTATTAAAGACGTGTAAAACCCTGACAGTGCCATGTCAGCCGCGTCAGCTCACCTGTCAATCACCAGGAGCCCACCCCCAGGCAGAGCTCCGTCACTGGGTCCACAGTCCAGACCCACAGTCCTGGTTCACAGTCCTGCCCCACAGTCCTAGTTCACAGTCCAGACCCACAGTCCTGGCCCACAGTCCTAGTTCACAGTCTAGACCCACAGTCCTGGTCCACAGTCTAGACCCACAGTCCTGGTCCACAGTCCAGACCCACAGTCCTGGTCCACAGTCCTGGTCCACAGTCCTGGTCCACAGTCCTGACCCACAGTAATGACCCACAGTCCTGACCCACAGTCCTGGTCCACAGTCCTGGTCCACACTCCTGACCCATAGTCCTGACCCACAGTCCTGACCCACAGTCCTGACCCACAGTCCTGCTCCACAGTCCTGCTCCACAGTCTTGATCCACAGTCCTGGTCCACAGTCCAGACCCACAGTCCTGGTCCACAGTCCTGGTCCACAGTCCTGGTCCACAGTCCTGGTCCACAGTCCTGACCCACAGTAATGACCCACAGTCCTGACCCACAGTCCTGGTCCACAGTCCTGGTCCACACTCCTGACCCACAGTAATGACCCATAGTCCTGACCCACAGTCCTGACCCACAGTCCTGCTCCACAGTCTTGATCCACAGTCCTGACCCACAGTCCTGACCCACAGTCCTGACCCACAGTCCTGACCCACAGTCCTGACCCACAGTCCTGGTCCACAGTCCTGGTCCACACTCTTGACCCACAGTCCTGCTCCACAGTCTTGATCCACAGTCCTGACCCACAGTCCTGGTCCACTGTCCTGTTGGTCTCTGGCTGTTGGTCCGATTACCGCTGGAGAGGATCAGAGTTTGTTGGGGTTGATCCGGAGCCGGTGTGACAGTCTGACCTATCATTATCTCTGGTCATTTCCTGTTGGTCTCACAATCACCGAGTCCCGAGTCTGTTCCCGCAGAATCCAAATCTAAGAATAACTGCAGTTTCTATAAACGATCACAGATGCGTCGCAGTCCGGACTATTTTAGCGTTTGGTTCAGTGCTGTGTCGACTTCTGCTCAGAGTATGTTTTTAATCTAAAACCAGTTGCACAATCATTTGATGGTTATTTATTTCGTCACTGGTAAATCAGAATCAGAATCATTTTTATTGCCACGTAAGTAACAGGAAGTCACAGACTTGGAAATTGCTTTGGCGCAGTGCAACAGTCAGAAAGAGATAATAAAAAATAAAGAATAAAAAACACTTCTAAGGAATAAACTTTAATTTAAAATAGAGTTACAGTTACTATTTACAATATACAAGTGCACATAGTGCACACAATGTAAGGTGACAGCATTACAGTGAAGTAAAGTGACGTATGATGGGCAGTAAAGTGACTTCAACCTGGAGAGACTACAAGAGACGAGATGCGTTTAAGAGTTGTTTATTTTATGGATTGAGTTTGTTTATTGGTTTGGAGCTTAGGCCCCGGCTGTGGCCGTGCTCTGAAGAGATCTGCGCCTGGGTGCAGATCATGATCCCCCGGGGCCTAGACACTGGTGGTGGCAACAAGGCAAGGTGAATGTGAGAGTGAAGAAATCCTGAGGCGGAGGTGGGGAGGAGGTGGTTGCAGCTTGAAGTCCGTTTGGTGAGCTGTGCTCTGCTTTGCTCTTAAACGCTGGCTTGATTGACACGGCTGCGGGGAGTTGATTAAGACAGGCTGAGTAAGGCGTGGTCAAGCCTGGTGGGATAACGTAGGTAGTCTACCATGCTGAACCTCCGCTTAAGCTTCATTTCAACCTGGAGAGACTACAAGAGACGAGATGCGTTTAAGAGTTGTTTATTTTATGGATTGAGTTTGTTTATTGGTTTGGAGCTTAGGCCCCGGCTGTGGCCGTGCTCTGAAGAGATCTGCGCCTGGGTGCAGATCATGATCCCCAAAAAGAGAGCTTGGCTAGCGATGCGTTTGCCATGACTTGGTTGCTGCGTTTATGGAAGGTGCATGGTGTGAGTGACTGTTTCCGTGCGCGAGCTCGGCTCTAGCGCTAGGCGTTGGCACGCGCACGAGCTCGGCTCAAGTGCGCGGCGTAATGCCCGGCGCGAGCTCGGCTCTAGCGCTAGGCGTTGGCACGCGCACGAGCTCGGCTCAAGTGCGCGGCGTAATGCCCGGCGCGAGCTCGGCTCTAGCGCTAGGCGTTGGCTCGCGCACGAGCTCGGCTCGAGTGCGCGCCGTAATGCCCGGCGCGAGCTCGGCTCTAGCGCTAGGCGTTGGCTCGCGCACGAGCTCGGCTCGAGTGCGCGCCGTAATGCCCGGCGCGAGCTCGGCTCTAGCGCTAGGCGTTGGCACGCGCACGAGCTCGGCTCGAGTGCGCGCCGTAATGCCCGGCGCGAGCTCGGCTCTAGCGCTAGGCGTTGGCACGCGCACGAGCTCGGCTCGAGTGCGCGGCGTAATGTCCGTGCGCGAGCTCGGCTCTAGCGCTAGGCGTTGGCTCGCGCACGAGCTCGGCTCGAGTGCGCGGCGTAATGTCCGGCGCGAGCTCGGCTCTAGCGCTAGGCGTTGGCACGCGCACGAGCTCGGCTCGAGTGCGCGCCGTAATGCCCGGCGCGAGCTCGGCTCTAGCGCTAGGCGTTGGCACGCGCACGAGCTCGGCTCGAGTGCGCGGCGTAATGTCCGTGCGCGAGCTCGGCTCAAGCGCTAGGCGTTGGCACGCGCACGAGCTCGGCTCGAGTGCGCGGCGTAATGTCCGTGCGCGAGCTCGGCTCTAGCGCTAGGCGTTGGCACGCGCACGAGCTCGGCTCGAGTGCGCGGCGTAATGTCCGTGCGCGAGCTCGGCTCTAGCGCTAGGCGTTGGCACGCGCACGAGCTCGGCTCGAGTGCGCGGCATGCTGGAAATGAGGAGTTGCCACCACCAGGAGATGCATACGTACTTATAATGAGAGGAGGCGCTGGGCTGCCAGAACGGATGAATGTGGTAGAGAACCGGGGACCGAGCTTCTGGAGAGATGATTGGGGGAGTCCCAGGGCAGCAGTCCAAGTGGCTGCTCCTATCCGGAAGGAGTGGCGGGTGTAGAGAAAGGAAGAGAGGTTACATGCAGGGAGCAGAGGTTTTGAATTTGTTCAGACCAGGGGGTCGTCGAGGGATTGTTTAAGGAGTAATTATAGTCTATGAATGTTGATAAAATGTCCATAGATGTTGTAGAATGTTAAAGTATCCTGGATCATCACCACGGGCCTTCTAGTTGGACACTAACTGTCCAGACCCTCCTGTATGGCAAGGAAAACTCACAAAACCCCGTGGGGAAAAAAGTGAGAAACCTTCGGAAGACCCTACATTGAGAGAGGGAATCCACTCCACGGACAGACAGGCTAGTCGTCCAGGACCCAAACTACAGAACAAGGACCATTGCCAATACTCCTTTAAGGATCTTCTTATGAGGGTGGAGCAGTGTGACTCGAAGTGGATTTTAGAGAATGTATTTAATGCTGATGTAGATGAGGCAGTGACGGCAGTACCCGC